GTGTCAGGTAAACTATTCAGACAAATATTTGATAATAATGAAGGGAAAATTTTAATTGGTTTTCAAAATTTATCAGTTTATCCTAATAATGAGGTAACTCAATGTACAAATTGCTTCAAGTTTAATCACTCTGGTAAGAAATGTAATAGTCATAAAGTATGCTTCAAATGTGGAGAAGAACATGATGATACTTCATGCAACAAATCTACTAATCCCATTTGTTGCAACTGTGTATATTCAAACAAAAAATATAATAAAAACTATAATACACATCACTCCCCTACAGATAAATGTTGTGCTGTATTTAAATTTTTCCAACAAAGACATATATCAAGAATTTTATTCTAAATTGCTAAGGACTTAGAATATTTATGAGTAGATACATTACAGAATTTGGACCTGAAATAATTAAAACAAATATTTTAGACGATTTACCTACAACAAAGTTACGTTTTTCTAATAATATTGATTCAGGATTGAACATCTTTCACACGAACATAAGGAGCATTCACAGAAATATGAATGAACTTCATGCCTTGTTGAATATACTAGATTTTAAATTTGATGTTATAGTGCTAACTGAAACATTTAAAGTATATGATACAAGTTTGATTGAAATTCCCAATTATGATTTATATTATAACGATGGTAGTTTTAATAAAAATGACGGGGTTCTGATTTATGTAAGACAAAATTTGAACAGTGGGTATGAAATTATTAATATAACTCAAACAAAACTTTTACGAGTTATTCTTCAAAAGAATAATAAATGGATACAGATCATTGGTGTGTACAAATCACCCTGTATATCTGTAACAACATTTATCGGTCAATTACAAGATTATCTAGAAAACAGTAGAAAATTTGACATCAACTTATTCATTGGAGACCTTAACATTAACATATTAGATCATAACAATCAAAATATTCAAGATTATTTAAATATAATGGCTGAACATGGTTACCTGTCAGCCATTAACGAAATGACAAGAGTAGAAGGAAACAGTGGGAGTTGTATAGATCATATGTTTATAAATTCACGTTTAGAACTTGACAAAATATATTCAGCAATTCTAAAATACAATATTTCTGATCATTTTCCAACTTTGCTCAAAATCGATCTTGAAAGTACATCAACCAAAATTGAAAAGACAGTGAATAATACAAAAATTTACATTGATTATGAAAAACTAAATAACAACTTACTCAATGAAAATTGGATTGTAGTATATAACGAACCTAATATTGAAAATGCATTTGTCCTTTTTATATCTAGCATTGAAGGCCATATTGCTGAATGCACCAAAACAATAAAGATTCCACGAACACAAATAAAAAGACAAGCATGGATATCAAAAGGGATTATTACCTCTATCAACAAAAAAATAGAATTATATAAGGAAACCAAAAAAAACCCTTATGATGTTAAACTTTTGAATGAATTTAAATTATATCGAAACAGACTGACAAAAATAATTAAAGAGGCTAAAATTAAATATCTCCAAGACGAGTTTGATAATCTACAAAATTGTTCGTCTAAAATGTGGCAATTTATCAATAAAATACAAGGCAAAAAACAAAACAACAAAATTAGTACAATTAAAAAAGAAAATGGTGAACTAGTGAGTAATGATGTAGATATAGCAAATGAATTTTGTGAATATTTTTCAAAAATCGGGAAAAGGTTGTCAGAAAGCATAAAAAACGCGGAGAAATTAAATTATAGTAAGACCAGATTATATAACTCATTATATCTGGAACCGACCGATACGCATGAAATAAAGACAATAATCAATGAATTGAAATTAAGAAAATCTCCAGGTCTAGATAATATAACAGCGTATACTCTCAAAAGAATAAATTGCAACATCTGCGGCATACTATCATATTTGATAAATTCTTGTATGAATAAAGGAATATTCCCTTCATGTTTAAAACACGCTATGGTAAAGCCATTATTTAAATCTGGAGAAAGAGAAAAACCCATCAACTATCGACCAATTTCCATCTTAACAAATTTTTCTAAAATATTTGAAAAAGTGTTACAAAAACGATTCACCGAATTTGCAAAAAAATATAACTTAATAGCGGAAGAGCAATATGGGTTTCAAGAAGGCAAATCTGCTCAAGATGCTATTGTAAAATTAACAAATAAAATATACACGAATCTCGATATTGGCAAACCAACTGCTTGTGTTTTTGTTGACTTGGCAAAGGCATTCGACTCTATTACTCATGAATCGCTTTTAAAAACTTTAGAAAACTTAGGTTTCCGGGGAATAACATACAAACTTATAGAAAATTATTTGTCAAATCGAACACAGTGCGTCAAAATTAATAACACATTCAGTGAACCCCATATTATATCACACGGTGTACCTCAAGGCTCAGTATTAGGACCCATTTTATTTAATCTATTTATCAACGATTTGTTCAAAATAAATAGTACAGGTAAAGTTATCGGTTTTGCGGATGATACAGCTATTCTCTATGAAAGCAACCAGTGGCATACACTAAAAACCACAATCGAACATGATTTCAAAACATTTATAAATTTCTTTTCGGAAAGAACTTTGACAATTAATTACAACAAAACACACTATATAGCATTTTCTTGTAACGACAGGCTCTCACCGCAATTTAAAAAACTTGAAATTCATACAAGCAGTGGTCTCAAAGAGATTCAGTCAGCCGATAAAATAAAATACTTAGGCGTGATTTTGGACAAACACTTAAAATGGGATACCCATACAGAGTACCTTGTGAAGAGACTGAGATGTATTATTCCAAAATTCAGGTACTTCAGAGATATTCTAGATAAGAAATATCTATATAATCTATATTATGCTCTTGTTTATCCTCTATTACTTTACGGAATTTTGGCTTGGGGGGGAGTTATGAATAATAATTACAAAAAGGTTGAGGTCATCCAAAAATTAATTCTAAAATTGATCCTCCATAGGGAGATTACTTATTCAAGTGATTTTCTATATGTGGAGGCTCAGCTATTAGATTGCAGACAAATTTATTTTTATTGTGGTCTAATACATTATTTCAAATATTCAAAATACTTTAATCGTACCATTCATAACTACCCAACAAGATTCAATCAAAATTCAATGTGTATTCCACAAACATCAAAAACCATTACACAACGATCTCTGTTTTTCTTGGGACCAAAATTCTATAACTTCATACCAGAGTCATTAAAAGTAATTAAATCAAATAAATCATTTAAAAAACAACTAAAAAAATGGATTTTACAACAACCAAGGTACTCCATCCACGAAATTGTAGATCTGAAAAATCATTATCAAAATCAATAATATTTTACTTACACTAACATCCATACTTTTACTTCAGTTCTAATTGTCTGGATATTTTTCCTGACATTACCATAATAATTCACCAAATTATACAGTATTAACGGGTTTTTTCTTTTTTTTTTTTTAATAAACTGACTGTACTATTAGTTTTTATTTTGTACAAACCCAAACACAAGTGCAAACTTTTTTTGGGTGCTTTATATTTATTGTGCACAATATTTGATATTTACTTGTATTTTGTGACAATAAACATTATACCACGAAGATATTTATTTACTGAACATTATATGCCAGGTAATAATATCTCACTGTAAGCACAAAATGAATAACTAACCCCTCCACTCCTTGAGAAATAAAAGGGTCATTTGGTCATTTTTCAAAAAAAATTTTAAGTAATGAAAGGGAAATTTTCTTATTCAAAGTAAATGCTAACGCGCTGTTTCATGAACATTACGCAGATGGTCATTGAAAGAATATAACAACACTCCGATTTCTTGTTATCAATTTTACATCAGAAGCGCTGAACAATATAGACACTTGAGTTGTTTTTTGCTGGGGGCCCTGTGACCACACTGCCTTGGGGGGCCCAGGCGCCAATGTCCAATTTGTCATTACTTAAATCCGCCACTGTGACGGACAAACCCCCCCCCCCCAACCAAAGGTTTTTGACCAGTATGCCCCCCCCCCACACAAATCCTGGATCCGCCGTTGGAAGCAATGGTCTTAAGTATCGAGAGACTTAAGTGCATCATATACAAGCACAACTACTTCGTATACCAAAATGATGTCGTCAAATGAGGCGGGTATATTTTGCCAATGGAAAAATCATTATTGTAAGTGACGAAATGGATGGAAATGACGGATTTCATACAGACGACGTAGATGAATGCAATGACAATGTTAGATACAAACATAAAGTGAAATTTGCAGATAAAATCCCTGCCTGGTGCGCAATTTCTTATAGGTGTATGTCAACCTTTGTGGGAGAGTGAGGGGTGAAGCTTTGAATAGTCGGAGCTATATTGATAACTGCCTTTCCAAATTGCTTCAGCTTTTCCACGAACATCATGCTAATGACCACCTCATGTTTTTGCTAGGCCTAGCATCATGCCATTACTAAAGAGATATCCAAAACTGGCCGCGACAACACAACTTACCTTTGTTCCCTAAAAACGTTAAACTTCCAAATATTCCGCAGGCTCGCCCAATAGAGGAATTTTGGGCTTTACTGTTAGGAAGGGTTATCATGGAGGCTGGGGAGTCCAAGATGGAGAACAATCAAGACGGCCGAATTTACGAAAAACTGAGAGAAATTGATGTGAATTCCGTCCAGGACCTCATGAGAGACATTCGAAGAAACTTGTGTCTGGTTGAGCAGAATAATTCAATAGTATATTTTAGTTGATTATTGAGTTGTAATTTATGATAACTAGTTAGTGTTTAAATAAATTTCTTCATTAAAAAAATCCGATAAATGCCAAAACTCTTAGGACATACGTTATGGTCACTCTGAAATATCTATCTCATAATCTGATCAATTGGAATGCGCTCTATTAAAAGTAAAAACACCCTAGGCTTCTTGCGTTGGGAGCAAAATCGAAAAACGCTGCATATGGCGACCAAGAAAGTATACAAAAGCCCACGAACTTTGCATTGAAGACCTAAGTATCTTACCAGAAATCTCCTTTGCCAAAAATGTCAAACAGTTCTCCCAGATTTCCTCTCATATCGTAAAGACCTTCAACTGAAATATTGTGAAAGGTTATGTTGAATATCAGGTAATGTTTGATGTCAATGAATTCGAACTTATGTAACGTGTACTCGAACATGTTAGAAACTGTCACACGGTCCAACTCCCCGGCTAATCTGAAATGAAAATAAATTTTATTTGATTAATAGCCAACTTTGTAGGTTTCGGAAATGTTTAGTTATATCAATCTTCTCCCTGACTTCGTCTGGTATCTGGGAAAACAGACCTGACAGACTTACCGACCTACGATACTTTATCAAAGAGCGAAGGTCCCACGGACCGCTCTGACGGACAACGACGAATAGAATCGATATTGTTTCAAAATTGCAACAAATTTATATTCATCAGAATTAGCACTAGACCTTAAGAACATAGACATGCTATAATAAGATCCTTTCTATGTCCTTTTTGGCTCATTGATGCCACGTGACCATCGGCAATAACTTATTCTAATCAGTAAGTAACAGCATCAGCGTCGCAACTGCTGAACAAGCAGCTCAGTCAGAAGCCTAAATACCAATGCCCGCGACTGCTATGTGGGGCTTAAGAAAACTCTGTTAATAATAATAATAATAATAATAATAATAATATTTAACGTCTTTTATTTGTAATATTCTTACAGGAGGCGAGATTTAGATTATATATCTATTCTACCATCTAACCCCCTTAACAATACGAGATGTAAAAAAAAAATTGTTGAAAATTAATAGGCACCTGTATACAATAACGAATAATCCAAGTAAATACATAAGGAAAACATGAGGACACTTATGGGTTACAACCGATTTCGCTGCTGATCAAGAAGGACTTCTTTCACTTTTTTCTTGAATTTGGATAATGGATTGGTTTCTTTTAAACTGCGGTCTAAAGAATTATATGATTTGATCGCATTGTAAATGGTATTCTGAAATAGAGACGTGCTGTGGCGTGGAATTGAAAAAGTCTCTCTATATCTAATATTAATACGATGCATATTCCCTCTACGTATGAATTTGTTTACTAAATATGACGGTGTTTTTGAATAAAGAACCTTATGAGTCAGATTTAGGAGTTGGTACTTATACATTTTATCAATTTTCATTCATTTGAGTTCATTAATGGCATTCGATATATGATCATATTTTCTGAGATCATTTACAAGCCTGCAACATGTATTCATAATACTTTGAATACGATTTCTTGTTATAATATCTAAATAGGGATAGTAAACCACTAAGCAATACGATATCTTTGAAAATACGAAATATTCACACAATTGTTTTCTCGCAGATTTATGTAATATAGCTTTATTTGCAAATAAAACTCTGAGAATAGCGTAGCACTGAGTAATTAGATAGTTCACGTGTGCAACAAATTTTAAGTCATCATCCATTATAATATCTAGGTTTTTCGAATGATCCACAGGAATTAATTTATTACCTTTTAAAAGTATGTCTATGTCCTTTTTTAAGGTATTCTTTTTTGTTCTATTAGCGTATACCAACATATTTGTCTTCAAAGGGTTCAAACGAAGATTATGACTACTACTGAACTTTTCAATTTGGGCAAGATCTTGATTAATTTTATTATTTGCCGTTTCCAAGTCATTACTCCTACATGAATAGAAAATTTGAGTATCATCTGCAAAAAATTGTATGCTGCATGATTTTACCTGTGTTTCTAAATCTGAGATATATAATGAAAATAATAGCGGTCCTTAGACTGATCCCTGTGGTACACCAGAACAAATTTTTTGTTCCGTAGGGTACTGTTGATTTCGACGAACTTTTTGATACCGATTTTCAAGGTAGGTTTGAATAAACGAAAGAGGTTTTTCAGAAAATCCATAGTAACTGCATTTAGATACAAGAAGTGAGTGATTAATGGTGTCAAATGCTTTAGTAAAGTCAAGAAGTATGAGAGCTCCTGCTTTTTGGTTATCAAGTGCCATTGTTATATTGTCTGTTAAATCACAGAGTGCCGAAGCTGTATTATGACCTTGTCGAAATACAGATTGTTTAGATGGAATAATTTTGTTAGAATATAAGTAGGCGCAGAGCTGCTCGTAAACAACGCGTTCCAATACTTTGGAAAAAAAAATCTGCCTTTTTGAAGTGCCTACGATTAGTATAGCTGGAAAATACTTCCTAATGTATGTTGTTCCACAAACCCGATACCCCAAGGACAAAGGAACTGTTGGATAGGCCAGTCCTACATTTACAAAGTACGACACAGCTAGGATGGGGTACCAAAGTCAGGCGGTTGGCGAAGCGGTAGAAGATAGCTGGCTCGCTGACCGCCTGTCAATGCGGAATGGTCACGAAACAGTCCGTTAGAGAAGAGTCATCGATCAAAGGAGCAGTATCGAGTATTGATAATGTAGTAGGGGCGGCAGCACCAAAAACCAAAATCGAGGCAACGGCTTATCTGGCCCAGATGAGCTATGAGCCTGGAGTCTGTAGTTGTAAGGGCAGGGCTTAGATAGATTTTTTTTTTGATGGGCTGGATAATAGCAAATTTTTTGTTTTTCTGGAAAAATGCAGTATTCGTAAGATATCTGGAAGAGATGCAAAAGAACGGAAGTAGCCTCAGCTGTACATATCTCCAATATAACGACAAGAATCAAGCCCGGCACGGATATTACGTATCTTCAAGTTACGTTATGTCGATTTTTGACTTTATATTGTTTTTTTGTGACATCATGTAGGTTTTTCTACATGACTTCAACTTAGCACTAGCCGATGGACACATTGTGAACTTGTTTAGTGGTTGTACGTGTTGCCTAAACGTCATGAGGCTTAAATTATCAATTTTTGGCTCTGATGTCATGTAAAATCTGCTTCACAGATGGCATTACTGAAGGTCTAAGCTGTAAGTAGTATGTGTTGATGATAATTCCATTCGATTCTTGTTTCAAATACTTACTTCAGATTGAAAGCTAGAAATTAGTTGCGCATCCAGTTTTTCTTACCCTTCTGGAAATTACATAAGCAAAGTTTCTCCATTTCAAAAATGAGAGAGATAATAAATATAGTAATTATATTCACTGTACATTACGAATTACAGGTCATATACATGCTAATAGTAATTACACACAATGGGCGCCCGTAATTCTCGAAGTTTTTTAAAACACAAAAAACGTGAAAAATCGTAATTTATAACTTTGAACATAACCTGACTTCAGAAAGGACAACATATATATATATATAACAAAAAACAGGAAAATAATGGGCAAAATCCGATTTGCGGTTCCAAAGTGCTGCTGTAATAGTCGGACTATTCGAGGATACAAACTTGTGCGCGATCCACGCTAAGCGAGTAACCATCATGCCGAAAGATATACAGCTGGCAAGACGTGTTAGGGGCGAACGAGCCTAATGGAATTGACGGTTTTACTATTTGCCGGATAGAGAGAGAGAGAGAGTACGGCGTGCGATAGGAGGCTATTTTCCTATTTTTTGTTATATACCTTTCTCCGCATGATCATTTTCTCTTTATATATATATATATATATATATATATATAGCTTCCGGCTTTTGTTGGGTACTTCGACAAAATTTAAGCAAAGAGGACTCTTTATACTTTTTTTAATTCTCTCTAGGTTTCAATGGACTTTGCCATCATCAGGAGCTGCAATTACATTGATAACAGTAGCAACAATAGTGTACAATGAATTTAAATTGACGTAACTTACAGTAGTATGTGAGGATGTTGCTAATTGTTGTTTACGTTCAGGATGAGGGAAAAACCCAGTAACATGGTGAAAGCTGGATAGATGGTACAATGGTCAAAATTATATAAAATGGACACAAATGTGTGACAAGAACAAGTTAAAAACAGATTAAAAATTTTTAGAACATGAAAGCATTACATCATGAAGCCACTTGATGATTGCACAAAATGGTGGTCATCGATTAATGAGTGAGATGAACCCTTTGACAGAAGGCCGAAGGTTGTCAATGTCTGTGTAGAAAGATGGAACGAATTGTGGGCGTGTGCCACGTTGCGAAATCACTTCAGATGATGTGATTTCAGAATATTATGTAAGAAATTGTTAAACCGACCAGAGGCAGTTGAATTAACTATATTTTAATTAATGGGAAATTAAATTAACAATTATTATTAAATCGTGAGGAGAAAATTATTAGAATTTGAGTGGAATGAAGTTTATTGGTGGAATCGACCAAGAAACAGATTCCATTTATGGTTGTGAAGAGTCAAAATTTGGCGAGATGTGTAAGTTCTCCAATTTTTAGCAAATATGAGTAAATTACACTCAGTTGCTTAACAACTGTCTTTTGTTGATACAGTTGTTATTCATGAAAATGTGGGACATTTCCAGGAATAAACGTTTGGATAGGTGTTTTTCTTTATCAAGAACTTTGATACTTGTGTAATTCATAGAGTGCCCTGTTAACATGAGATGCTAGAGCGCATCTTTCAGGATGAAGCCTAGAATCACTTTTGTGTGATGTAATCCTTCCTTTAAGAGATCTGGAGGTCTGACCTATGTATATTTGGTTGCAGTTGTTGCAATTGACGGAGTAGACTGTGATGGTTAAGCCAAGCAGCGGGACTCTGTCTTTCATTTTTGAAAAAGTGCAGTTTATGGTGAGGACGGATTTGCAAGCAATTCGAAAGTTCAAAGGACTGCACAATCCGATCAGCTTAGGGGTCAGTTCCTTGATATAGGGTAGGACAGCAAAACCAGGTCTGGAGTTTGGGTTGGTGCTTGTACTGTTTGAATTGATGTTATTGATGGGAATTCTATCAGTTCTGTTATTAGGGGTTGTGCGACTATTACTTGTATCATTAGAGTTTGGCAAAATATTGGAAGGTGAACTAAATAAGATCTTGTTAATCAGACACTTTGGATAACCATTATTGATGAACAGTTTTGATAGTTTACGTAAATTTGAGGTGTGGATAGTATTGTCTGAGATGCTGATTACCCTTGTTTCCATCTGTTTCACAAAGTTGATTTTAATCCCTAGCTTATGGTATGACCTAAAATTGAGAAACCGACCTGAGGCCATAGGTTTCTGGTACCAGTCTACCAATAAACTATTGTTGTTGATGCGGATGAGTCTTGTGTCTAGAAAGGGGACAGACAGGTTCTCATCTTCTTTTTCAATGGTAAATTGGATGTAGGGGTCATAGCTGTTGAATTCTCTGACAATACCATCCAGACCTATGGAGGGGAGGCATAAAATAATGTCATCTACGTATTTTTTTATGAAGAAGAGGTTATAGGGTAGTGTCGGAATAACAGTATCAAGCGGATCATCCATGACATATTCTGCCAAAATTGGTGATAGAACAGATCTCATAGGACAACCATGTGTTTGAGAACATATTTTGTTGTTGAAAGAGAAATAATTGTTATGAAAGAGGAATGTTATAATGTTGGTGAACGATTCTAGAGATATATTGCAGTGTTGACTTATCTCATTCCAGTGTTTATTTATAGTTCTTGTACATGCATCCAGATAGATATTGCTGAATAGCGACACCACATCAAGACTGGCGATAATATGATCGGCTGGTATTGGCAATCTGTTGAACTGACGAGAGACTTCAAATGAGTCTTTGATGTAGTAATCATTATCTGCATGTGCTGATTTTAGTGTTGCCGATATTAATGAAGACAAAGCCTGGGTGGCTGAACCTATTGATGCAACTATAGGTCTTACTGAGAGTACAGGTTTGTGAATTTTCGGAAGTGCATAGAATTTTGGAGGGACAGAGTTATAAGTAGTCAAAGTTCTTTTTTGTTCTTGGGTTATTTGTCCAGTGCTGAGAAGTTCCTTAACAATGTCATTACTTTTCTTTTCCACTTTAAGTGTGGTATCTCTATTAATTTCATGGTATGATGGGTCATCATTGATAAGATTGTTGCAAAGATGTAAATAGTGTTGTTTAAGCATTATCACTGTATCATTGCCTTTGTCAGATCTTGTAACCATAAGTTCAGAATGTTGTTTTAGACATGTTCTAGTTTTGTTTAAAAGGTTGTGATAAAAGGAATGCTTTTTATTAAGATTGTTGCTATGATAATAGTTAGTGATGAGGTTAGTGGAACGAGTTGTGAAAATGTTTCTTCCAGTGTCATCACTTATGGAGGATGCTATTGTGTCTACGTCAGCTAGAAAGAAAGTTTTTTTGTGCAGCTCATATGAGTCTAAGAATGTGTTTTTTTTTGGCACTAGGACATTGCATCCCATTAGCCAGATCCAATCTTTATATGTACATATATCTAATTTTTGGACAAACACACGACGTCACAACATTCATGGCTTCGAAAATGTGATTTCCGAAGGCGCGATTCGAACTCGCGGCCCGGCTGTCCGGCTGATCAGTAGCACGACACTCTGGCCCACCCGGCCAACCGAGGTCCCAGAATGACTGTTTGCACCCTAAAGTCTAGCTACTCTGCAAGATGACATTTTATAGGTTTTTTGACGTTTTATAATACCCGCAAGGGCCAGATGTAGAAAGTTACAGTTAATTGTTATGGTAGCTGCGATCAGCTGATGCATGGCACGTCTTGATGTATCTCTTGGGTACGAGTACACGTCCCCTGTGCCCAATTTGCTCTTTCATTGCGGCCTAAAGAATTAATTAAACGTTCACTTTACACCTTGCTGAAATAGAACTGTATGCATTGAAACGGGAACAAAAACCGCCCCAGAACAAAAACTATCACCAGAAGAAATACTTGTCTAGAATTCAAGCCCTGAGAATCGAATTAACCTAGCACACATACTCGAACCGCCCAAGCTCGTAGTCAAGACGTCAAATGAATATATGTTACAAACATTTCAAACCGATAGCAAAAACAAGACTATGTCGCCTGTATTGGAAAGCAAAGTAGCATTCAAGTGCACTGTTATTTAGTTTTGCTGATGGCTTTCTACCTGCCTCTCAGCAAGGTGAATGTGGTACAGTTTCGTGCTCATTATGTCTCTTCAGTACGTCATTCTATCTGAGAAAAAAAGACACGAAGCAATGAGTTGTACGCCTATGTTCTGTTATGGTTGATGGAATTAACTTTATGAATATTTGTCCAGCAACTTCGGAAGACTATAATACTTCAAACGATTCTCAGTATGCAGGAAATAATCATCGACTAATTGCAATCAGTAAGCTTGGATGGAAGTTTCAAGGAGAAAAGTTCTTATTTAAGTTAGAGCTTTGAAAGCTAATTAAATATTTCTGAGGCAACAAAGGGTAATTTTGTCTAGCTGCTTGAAATATAATTTCGAGTTGAGCTAAATAAAGTTCTCCTCGTTATAAAAAATGGGTAAAATCCTTTTCCTCAAGCAGTTTTTCAGTTGGTCCGATGATTTCGAATTGTTCTTTAGGATGCAGTTAATTTGACTAGATTAAGATTCATTTGATCACAATTGTAGTTATGTCTCAATTTTTGTGTATTCAATAAGCTTTCTTGACACAATATGTTCTTCTTGAGATAATTCCGAGGTCCGGTTCATGTACAGATTAACTGTGGTTTTACTGACAACCAGTAGCAAAATCTCAAGACCAGTGTTGGGCATTTACGTGGGGACTTTATCTACGTTTCGAGTAGACTATGTGTAGACAATGTATGCAATGTGTAGAGGAAAAACATGATAGACGTGTGTTCGCTGCGGTGTCATAGTTGCATCCACCGCTCTTCACGGTGACTGGAAGATCCAACTTCAGTAAAAAAACCTCTGCTGCTGCCTTTTATCCACACAATAACGGGTCTACGGGAGCATTGCGTCGCTGTTACGGGTGTCTTTCCTATGCTGTGGTAGTAGCACTGTCTTTCTCATTCCTCTTGTTCTCTAGTATAGTTCTAGACATCTTAGATTCCCTGATTTATTTACTCCTAGGTTTGAGTTTGGTGACATTGTCTTTTTTGATATCTTCTACAACTTGTGAGGAGCATTCAAGTCTGCGTTTCTGCCACCGCTGACAATGAAAAAATGTAACCTGCACTACTTGCATGTAAAACGATATTGGTAGCTTCAAAAAGTCCACCTCGCCTAGAGATCCATAACACCACTCTTCCATTTTCCCCATTAGTGCCCGTGTCCTATTTCAGTCTTTCCCATCGTTCTGCCAGTGTTCGGAAAGGTTTGCTTTTACAGTATCTTTGCCATGTTTGAACATAGCTCCGCTGTTTGTCTCACCAATACACGTTACAGCGTCTGTCCTATAAGCACTACAAACCCTTCGTGCAATTTTCTTTATAGTGTCACAGACGTGCTTGGTGTTCCCCATTTGCTCGATCTAGGGCCTCCCATATTGGGCATCAGTTTGGACAGTGTCGAAACTATATTTTCGGCTTTATCTGCGGTCTTGTTGACCATACTCGTAAGTACTTTATGGAAGGTTGCAGGTGTATATCCTTGCCCTATACGTTGAAGGTAATTGCCGCTAACTTCCGTCGAGAACTGCCTCCATTTATTTTTTCTGATGCATGTTTGTCACGTGCATCAACCACACAGCCGAATCATCCGCATTGTGAAACTCCATTATGTTGAAACTCCATTATGTAAGACGTTGCTCAGCGTTGAACCAACAATGGAGCCCTGTGGGACGCCTCCGGTTCTGAGTATCTCTACAGGTTAAGCCAAATATTTCTGTCCTGTAAGTAGTTGGAAATTAGTTTCAGAATATCTCTACTAATTCTTAGTCTACTGAGCTCACTGATAACGGCTTGTCAGGAGGCTGAGCTTAACGCATCCTTGTCGCATATCCCCCTTGTGCGGTTTACCACCACCCATGACTGCCTCGCAAATTCCACTACTTTTTGTACGGCCGGTGTCGTAGGTTCGTAGATCTTTCTGGCCTGAACCCGTATTCTCTATCCGAGAGGGCATGTTTCTCTTTCAATTCCTGATAAAGCCTGTTGTGCACAATATAGGTTCATCCTAGTAGTAGTAGTAAAATAGTTCTTCGGTTTAGAGAGTCATAAAACACACAACATACGATATTTCAGTCTGGTAAGCAGCATTGCGAGTCCAGTAGTTACGGTTTCGCTAACCAGATCATAAAAAACGAGTTTAGGAAGCACTTATAGTTAGCTTACAAGATTACAAGATGTAGGTACCAATCTTGGAACACCGTGGTGCTGAGCTTCATGTTAGCTCTTAGAAAAATGTTACTCCCTCACACTTTTCCGACCTTCATTTCATAGAGATGCTCGTAAGCATTGTTGAGGATATCAAAATGTTTCCAAGTTCCGGCATTCATGCGTTGCCATCTTATTTTATTTTATACAAGAAAATAACACAGGCCTACGGAATAAAAAAGTTGTACGCTATATTTCCTCATCTACTTTTTCCCGCTCAACACGGATCTGAAGTCAGAATTTAGAGTCGCTGAATAAACACGAAAATAATTTAGGCATTCAGATCCCAATTTTTTGTTTTCATGGTGGCAAAATACCAAAATGCGTGACGTCAATGCCTAAGTTATTGTCATATGTGCCCAGCGACCACCAATTGTGACTTCAGATTCGTGTTCAGCGGGAAACAACAAACGGGAAAAATATTTTGAGACATCCAGTACACACCACTTTTATTTGTTCTGAATGTGTGACGTGTTTTTATCATTTTGATGCATTCTCTCTAAAATGTGTACAGCAACCCGCAATTCTGACTTCAGATTGGTGTTCAACAAGAAAAAATATGTGGCAAAAATATAGTGGGACAACCAGCTCACACCACTGATTTATTGTGGGCCTCTGTAATTAAGGAAACTTGAGTAATATTGAAAAATTACTGCAAACACCTAACCTTATTGCCGGATGGGTAAAGTTGAAAGACGTATGATCTATATGTATATCCTTATCGCCAATTACCAAGTCCTTCATTGTACTTTGTATATCATTGTATGCTGCAAAAAACACAGAAATTCAATAAAAAAGAGTTTTCCAAAAAATTTCATGATTCAAAAAATAAAAATATGATGGGTTTGTTTGTTTATTCTACTGAAAAGCTATTTACCTACTAATTCAATATTTCAATTTACAAAAATTCCATGATTGTGGTTTTCGATATATCTACCTATTCTTCAAATATAGAAACATAACAGACCCACATTATTGAATATGTTTCCAAAATAGCTATTAAGATCTGACTTTAAAATCAGCAACATTGCTTATTTTGATATCCGTTACAAAAATACTTACATACAGGAAACTTTGGAACCTTTTTCTTACATATTGTTATACTGCATTTTAAGAGCCCTGTCGAGCAAAATATAATTACTAGGCCTAGAAGAAGTTTCCTAGAACAAAATTTAAAAATGCATGCATATGAGAGACGAGTCACTTAAAAGCCTCACACATATTAATGTGAATTATTTATAATAGAAATAAGAACATTCACCATTTTACTTACATTCTAAATGTTGAATTTGCAAATCTAGTACAATATGCACATGGTTTTGAGCTGACTAAATTCTGAACCTACTAAAGCAGATAAAAAATTGTTATCTATATCACCAATACCCGTCAGTTAAGCGAACATTGTTATATGCTATCAACAACGAGTGATATTTGATTGCGTTCACGTATCGAATATTTTTATTTAATTTTAGTATTCTGATTGAGTATGTGCTTGCTTTAATAGTGTGATTAATAAGTATAGGGTGGACAAAAGAACAATATTTCTGAGGTATGTCAAAAATGCGATGAAAAATTCGCATAAACGTATGTTCCTAAGGCAATGACGAGGTGCGAGTTTATTGGAATCGCTGTACACATTTTATACATGGTTCACCAGATAACTTTCTTTTTTAAAAGCTAAATAAAACCCCTGGTATAAATCAAAACATTTTTATTTGTTTTTTATAATGTAGGTGTATGCCCAAAGCTGTCTTCTATCCATCTCAGCCTTGAAAACCCTATTTATCTGTGTACGAATCCGATATGATCTATTAGGAAAAATAAGGTTAACAATCGGAAACAATAGACAAATCGACATATTTAAATTCTGGTTATGTCATTTTGTAGGGGCGAAGTGGAAATATCATTGCGCAATCTATTTTGAAACCCCGCTCCAAATAAAGTCAAGAAAAAATAAACATCGCCTCGAATAAAGTTCGGGAAAAGGGACGATTTTGTTGATAAATTTTTTTGTTGATATCCTCGAATTGTCGTGATGCTAAGCCACTTAGCATCAATACAAAGTGGTAAGTAAAAATACGTACAGAACAAGCAAACATAAGTAAACAGTACAAATAAACACAAAGTATTTATATTAACAATCATTAAAGCAGATTTGTAGCCACCTTTGGGGCTAGATAAGCTTTTTGACTTGGGTGACCAGTGCATGAGTTAATATGTCCTGGTAGCTTTAGAAATGCATGTTTCATGAGCTGACATAATAAAGAGATGATTATATCTATTCAAGCTGCATCATTAACGGGGCTCCTACAACCACGAGCACCATCTGCTGCGGTAACGGGTGGGTGAAAAGGAAACGAGGGTAGCCTGGCCTCAGATGGTCGTCGGCGCTACTTTAAATGAGGAAAGGATGACTGCGGGTGAGTACCGAGGTAAATTTTGATAATAACAGAGTCAGATTTCGGTTGGCGATCTAGCCTGTAAATTGTTGCTTATTTTAGCACGCAGCAAGTGGTCATTTAGTATTGTTCTACCCTTATTACTGTTCGTTGATATTGTGTTGTTGAATTGTTGTGCTGTACTCTTGTTGGTGTGATTGTTCTTGAGTGTCTTTTTTTATCAAGGTTGATAATGGACAATAAAAGGTCATATGCGACCATTTTAATTACGAATGCAGTGAATTTAATTCATGATGAGGACAACAATAGTATGAACCAGTTCAGCTCTATAATCGCAAAATACATTAGGGTAAGCGAATAAATTATTGCAAGAAGTGGTCATACCATGGACGATGTGCTGCAGTTGCAGTGAGCCACAATGCCGAGCAGCCTGTCTATGTGGTCCAAATTCATTTGAGTTTTAAGCTTAGTCCAACCTCGCTTATCGCTAAGATGGAACAAAGACTCAAGCGCAAGAATCTTGGAAAAAAACTCGGGCCAAAAAAAGCTGATATAAAAATAACTAACAATTCAGATAACAATTCCAAATAAAATGAATAGTTTTATGGCGAATTCTGTCAAGAACCTGACATTAACGACATTGATTTGGAGATTGCTTAGCAAGAATTTTTTGGGGAAACTTAGTAAAAGTAACGGCGAGATTTTTCAGATCGAACAAGTCACCAGATCACAGGACTGTACCTTGTGGCACCTTCATCGGCGGATAAGGTTGACAGCGTCTCGATTTGGTGAAGTTTGTAGAAGAAGGCTGACAACAAGCTATAAAGTTCTAGTAAACTCCGTCATCTACTTAACAGAGTAAAAAAAAGCGATACAAAAATCATTGGACACCGCAGTTCAATCTTGTGGTTTGTTTATTGATCCCACACATCCATTACTGTCATCATCGCCTCTATCTACCTATTACAGTAGACAAGAAATGTACTTAATCCATGTATAAGCCTACCTGTTTGCTGGTTTGCAATAACTACCTAACTGTTTCCTCTTATTTTGACGGCATAAGATATTTTTATGACCCTTGTTCAATTGTTACCATGTACCACAAGACCCTTGTAAACATAATTGTGTTTATTGACATGAATATATGAATTTGAATTTGAGTTCTTGAATTTATTTTAGGAATGGTATCAAATTATTTGCATACATTTTTCCTTTGTGGGAACGCACCGTCGCGTCGATTGGACTGGCAGGACGAAACAGTAGACGAATTTTGCCCAAAAACCGATTTGCACTTCACAGCTTTCGTTTCATTTTTTATTATTTCCAAACGAAACTCTTGCAGCGTGCTAAAAACAAAGTCCACAGGGTGCTAACGCTCCAATTTTTCGATTTTATCTACTAGGATGTTTTTAAAATATTAAGAAGTTGAGCACAAATAGTAAGCATTTTAACCCACCATAATTCTTGCGCAAAGACAAAATTTTGTGAAAAGCTCTGATAGCACCCTAGGCAATTATGTCCTGCTTATTTCCAGAAAAACATCACAATCTGCAGAACACAAATAGATGGTAACGACGAAATGGGCACATTTCACGGGTCATGAAATTCAAATGAAAATGCGGGTATAAAATCTACCAAATTATCATTCTCAAAAACATATTTCCTTGACATATCGATAATTTCAAAGTTCCACGCTAAATTCCCTATACTTGACTGGAGTGATATCCGAATTCATTCTTCCCTACTGTCGGCAGTTGCAGATCTGTTGACTCTTAGTGTCAAACCTTTAGAGCAGGTACCGATTTTTTCAAATCGTGAGCACATTATTCGTCGGATTTTCTTTACTTAAATTTCCTGTAATCACTGGGATCAGGAGCTTCTTAATAATAGAACGTGTTTCACTGATATCTAAGATGCAGCATTTAAAATCACCTTCTTCCAACCTCCACTTGTTAAGCAGTAACATTTTTTTATGTCAATGGTTAGGAACCCCTGAAACGTCAAAAGCGGAGTTTCGGCAATTGTTACTTTTTCTTTTTTGCCTATAGCACCGTTGCAACTGGACTAAAACTACAAAGCATTGGCGTACTAGTAACCTTGTGTGTAAATTTCATAAAAATCCGAGCGGTAATTTCCAAGTTGATGATGAGTAATATAGTTTTTCGTGATGTAGATGTCATATGACTTAAAAAAACATAACATCTCATTTTAGAAATTCTTCACGATTACAATACTTCCTTGCCAATGGCGTGGGAAGTAGAAAGGCTTTAAAATCTAGGAGTATCAGCGATCGCGATTATGAGTACCTATTTGCAGAATGACTTATCTACACGATATTATATGAAATAGGGCCACCAAATTATCTGAATATATTCTTACTCCGTCGATTGCGCCGCAACGCTTGGGTTTGTCAGCACGAAACAGTAGACAAAATTCGTCCAAAATACGATTTGTAGAGGTTTGCGCACTTCGAAACTGACGCTTTATTATTCGGTATTTTTGAATGAAATTTTCACAGTGTGCTGAAAACAAAACCACACAGGGTGCTATGGAGCCACTTTTTCATTTTTCTAACAACGTTCTTTTTAAAAAAATCGCGAAGTTGAAGCGAAAAAGTGTCCACTTCAACCCATCATAAGACTTGTGCAAAAACAAAATTTCAAAAAGTGCCCCCACAGCACCCTGGGCAATTATCTTCTGAACATACTGTATGAATTTCATTCAAAAATATTGAAAAATGGAGTGTCAGTTTCAGAGCAGCTGAACCCTTGTAAATGGCTTGAAACTCACTGCGTCGGAGCCGCCGTAATAACATGTTAAGAGCGGGTTGATCTTGTCAACACAGTTTAATAAGTAGAAAATAGACATACGCTTAATATGTTTTTATTATATCTCTCATGATAAATCCAAACAAAACTATCTCGGCTACTACTAAAATAGCTACTGTTGTTATAAAAATATACATGCACATGTTCCCAAGATCTCGTTTTTTCATTTTCAGCGTAGGGATTGTTTCATTCCAACACTCCTTCAGTCATTCTCCCTGCAAATATAAAGGAAGATATTGTTGTATTCGAGAACAGTTTTTCGGATGGAACAATATGAAGCAAGAGTTTGCCGGGGGTAACTCGGTGCAAATGTGTTTAAACAAATTGTTTGTGGAAGGGAAAAAGTAATTTTTGAATGTCTTGATTAATCTTATTATGAAGTCTTACATTGCTGGTATGAATACTGAAATATTTGTTTTGCTTTTTACGCTTCAGGAAAATGGAAAACAATATACACTTAATCATACTATAAAGCTCTTAATAATATAATGGCTTACCGTGTTAGTCTCCATATTTGTCCATTCTCCCTATTTTGTCTATAATCAACGGAAAACCGTAGCAGCCTCATACCACCTAACCTACAAAATTAAGGTACCGTATTGATTAGGTAACCACCTCTGCCTTCTGATGTCCTGCCATCTACCACGATTTGCTTAAACTTCTGGGGGTACAGCAGAAGTAGGGAAGGAAAGCAACAAATCAATAGTCCCTGTGATGCTTGTATCTAGGGAGCGCTAGCTGTTACAGTTTCTAATCTTCCCCAGGATATCAGCCAATTAAATGCGCTTTGATGCTTGTATCTAGGGGGCGCTATCTGTAACAGTTTCCAATCTTCCACGTGGTATCAGCCGATTAAATGCCCTTTTATAGCATTTCCTTATGATTTCTCGTACGAGCTAAGTAAGAGATACAGAATCTTAAAGGTCCCTAGGATTGGTATTTGGACTTATACAAGGTGCTCCAGAATCAGACAGCAATCCGTCGGATGCATATGCATAGAATACAAAAAATAGTTCCACGTGTTTTTATAACAAATACATTTAAAAAAACATAAGCAACCCGACAGCACTAACTTATCCATCATTTTGGTTTTGCAAATTTTAATAAGCCCAGTGTTACTCTTACTGTCAAGACCAATCTTAGATCAAAGTTTGACAAAATCCTTCAAACCGTATTGCCAGATAAAAAGACTTATACCCTGCTTTGAGCGACATGATTTCGCACTAATGTCTATAGTTGATACTCATCATCCTAAATGGCGCAGCTTAACTTATTTTTTTTAATTGTCAAAGACGCACTGTCAGCGATAAACAATTTGATTTAAATTTAAAATAGCACACAGGTAATTAACGGAAGAAATGCAGGCGTGCTGAGGAAATGCGTTACCCCAAGAACCCAACTAATGGAACGAGACAAAACCATATATTAGGAAGCTTACCAACGAAATTCAAAGCTTGAGGAATATGCCATCAAAATAAGTAGAAAATAAGAACAGGAAAAGAGGCCTACATGCTATGTCCTCGTCTGCTTCGTCTTCGGACGTGAGATAAGAGATGCTTGTCGAGCCCTCTGAACGGAAGCCCCGGCCAAGTCCATGGGTAATATTTTTTATCACATCAACATTGCTCGCAATCCATCAAACATTATTTTGATTGCCAATAGCATATAAAGTAGTCTACCAAAAATTGTATAGATCAAACGGGACTATATTTTATATAATACATGTATACACAATATACAGGGTTTGTCCGGAAAGTAAGTTGGACACCTGAATGTAAGATCTCTGTTTGCTGGCTTTGATTCCTTTGTAGATTTGTTGACTACTGATAATTATGATATTATGGGTATCTCCGAAACATGGATTAATAATAATTTTACAGCAGATATAGTAAATATTCCTGAGTACACTTTTTTCCATACTGATCGAGTAGGACGTGGAGGAGGAGTTGGTGTTTATTTAAGGGATTCACTGAGAGGTAAGCTGGTATTGCAAGATTTTTTATGTCCAGATGGTATGGAGCAGGTTTGTGCTGAAATAGTGTTGAATAATCTAAAAATTTTGGTTTGTGTTATCTACAGAGCTCCTTCAAGCAGATTATCAAGTTTTATTGATCATATAGACAACTTTTTCTCATTTGTGTCTCCTCAGTATGATAATATATGCTTGCTGGGTGATATAAACGTTGATCAACTTACTGACCATTCTTTTCTAGATTGCATTGCGTGCTACGATATGGTATCTCACATCACCCAACCAACTAGGATAACTTTAACCACGGCAACCTCCATAGATGTCATTTGTACAACAAATAACTTAGCTGAATCATTAATTTCAACTAGCTCTGTACCTGTTCCGAATTTGTCAGATCATAATGTAGTCAGATGTGACTTCAACATCACACGGCCTAAGAATTTTCAAAAGACTGTCAAATATAGAGACTTTAAACACTGTTGTAAAGATCAGTTTTTGGTGGATTTGTATAAAATCCCATGGGACGATATATATTACATCAGTAACTTAGAGGATAAAGCTACGTTCTTTTCTAATCATATTTTGGATTTGTTTGATGTCCATGCTCCTGTTGTTTCATCACGTATTACTAAACCTTATGCTCCATGGCTCACAGGTGGCATAAAATTTTTGATCTCCGAGAGAAATAAAGCCTTTAGAAAATATCAGATTTTAAAAAGTCCAGCTAGTCTCGAATATTACCAGAAATTAAGAAATGATGTCATTTCCGCTATTAGGCGGGAGAAAGCAGCATATCTAAGCTTCAATGAACAACTAAATAGTAACAAGCATCTCTGGAAAGCTGTACATTCATTGAAACTCAAAACTAATGTAGATAGATCTTTACCTACACAGTTAAAGAATGGCGGATGAAGTAAACAATGATTTTCCTTCCGTTTTCACGCCTTCGGGCAATTGCAAGGATCTAGTTGATAAATTTAATAGTACCAAAATTAATGAAAGTGCTAGATTTGAATTTAGTTTTGCTACCCCACAAAATGTGCTAGACATTATTCTGTCCCTAAAATCTAATGCAGCAGGTTCGGATGGTATAACAGTCTCAATGCTGAAGCTTTGCTTGCCTCGAGTATTACTACCCCTGACGCATTTATTGAACTGTTGCCTGGAGGCTGGGTATTTCCCTGATGCCTGGAAACTATCTCTTGTCAAGCCCTTGCCTAAATATAAAAATCCAAAATGTCTCTCAGACTTAAGACCTATAACTTTGATTCCTGTTATATCGAAGATATTGGAGAAATTGATTAAACATCAGGTTTATCATTATTTCTCTAATAATGATTTCTTTCCCAAGTGTCAATCTGGTTTCCGCAGTGGTTTTAGTCCAACTACAGCTTTAGCAAGGGTTTGAGATGACATCATTGCTTCGCTTGATAAGGGAGATGCTTCAGCACTTGTATCATTAGATTATTCTAAGGCGTTCGATAAAATAGATCATGAGCTTTTATGTGCTAAATTGGAGTTTTTTGGTTTTTCAGACATACCTCTAATGTTTTTTATAACATATCTTTCAAATCGTAAACAAGTAGTAGAGATAGACAACACTATATCTAGTCCGATTGATATAACATCAGGTGTCCCTCAGGGTTCAGTTTTAGGGCCCTTGTTGTACTTAATTTATACTATAGACTTGGGTAGCTCTGTGAAAAACTCTTCTGTGATGTGCTATGCCGATGATACACAGATATATAAGAGCTTTAATAGTAACACTTTGCATACTTCAATCAATGAGCTTAATGATGATTTGGAGGCAATAGTAGGATACTCAAATGGTAACAATCTTAAGCTCAATAGGGATAAGTGCTCAGTGATGCTTTTTTGTCCTGCTGTCAAACGTAACACTATATTGTATTCTCTTGATGTAAAAATTGACAAGGAGCGTCTAGCTGTCGTAAATACTACAAAAAATTTAGGGTTGATTATTGATTATACTTTACGGTTTAAGGAGCATGTTTCGTCTATCTTGAAAAAATGTTATGCAACTTTGAACTGTTTTTATGTCAATCGCTCTATTTTGAATTTTAAAGTTAGAAAAAAGTTATGTGAGGCTATTATATTTCCAAGCTTATTTTACTGTAGCACTGTGTTCTATCATTGTCTTGATTCTATCACAAAAGCAAGACTCCAAAAACTCCAAAATACTTGTTGTCGATTTGTATTTAATCTCAAGAAGTATGATCATGTTTCCTTAAAGAGATTTCAGCTTGGTTGGATGTGTATAGAAAATGCCTGCAAGTACCATATAGCAGTGTTTACACATAAGATCATATCTTCTAGATCTCCCTTGAATCTTTATGAGAAATTTGTTTTCAGACGAAATAATTCAGACATTGATTTCAGACACAAAAAAAGACTAGAGATCCCTATGTATAAAACAACTTTATTTCGTAGTTCATACACTTACAATGCTATCCTGATTTATAACGAATTAGATGACAATATAAAGGATTGGCCAGTAAACAGATTTCGTAAGCATGTCATTGTAGTAATTGTAGAAAAGTTAGTTTTTAATTCTTACATTGTATTTTATTTTACGTAATATATGTGTGTATATATGTATGCTAGGAAGCTATCAAGCTCGTTGTTTTAAAGCGTCTTTTGCTTGTCAAAGTTTCCTTTGATTGAGTGTTTCAATTTAGTATTTGGGTAGGTTAAGTAGAGAAGCCAAGAGCTAGACTTCGCCTACGTAGAGGTCACATTATGTTGTAGGCAGGCTTACCCAGGTGTTGCTTTAGCAAGAAGTGTTTCGGTGGCTCCAGGCCTTTTTGGAGGGCGGGCAAGAGGTCGCTGATGAAGACCGTGCTGGAAGACCTTCGACTCCGACAAACACAGATAATGTGACTCGTGTGCGCAAAGTTTTGAGCTCAGACCGTCGACTAAGTATTCGTTTAATTGCCCAGATGTTAAATTTACCAAAATCTGCAATCCGCAAGGTTTGAACATGTGTGAAAAGTGACCCCCAATTTTTGAATAACGTAATCACAGGTGACGAGTCGTGGATCTTTGAGTATGATCCCGAGACAAAGACGCAATCTTCCGAGTGGCACACGACGGCGTCTCCTCGCCCAAAAAAGGGAAGAATGAGCAAATCCAAAGAGAAAACTATGCTCATTGTCTTTTTTGACATCAAAGGCATCGTCCACCATGAATTTGTTCCTCCTGGACAAACCGTCAACGCCAAGTTTTACGTGGAAGTGCTCAGGAGACTCAAACGAAGGGTCAGTCGGGTCCGACAAGACATCGCAGCCGACTGGAAGTTGCACCACGACAAAGCCCCGGCTCACACCGCCTTTCTTGTGAACAGCTACCTGACCAAGGCCGGCATCCCAACGCTTCCGCAGCCGCCCTGCAACCCAGATGTGGTCCCCCCGGACTTTTTTGTTTCCTCGCCTGAAAAGGCCGATGAAAGGCAAGCATTTTGAGACGACAGAGGGGATCCAAGCAGCACGCACCGCAGCTCTCAAGGCTATTCCGGAGAATGCCTTCCGTGACGCCTTCAATGCTTGGAAATCGCGCTGGCAGCGCTGCATCGACGCAGAAGGAGCCTATTTTGAAAGTTTTTAAAGAATTGTAACGATTGGCTCAATATTTTTTTTTAAATCGACTCAGTCCTATTACTTTCCGGACAAACCCTGTATGTATATTTTATGAAGTACCGACATTTGAGTACTGGTGATCTTGTCATGATTATGAATATTTTGTTTTTTTTTTTAAAGCGCCAATGTGTATGACTTGTTCCAACAACTATTTTGTGTTAATCTGTTTTGTTATGCATTTGGAAATATTGCAAACTATGAAATTGAATTGGATTCAAAATTGTTAATAAGGCGAACACAGTAACTGAATATATAGGTACCTATCAATAGACTTGACATCATTTTTTAAACGTCATGTATTTACTTACATGCTTATTATATAAAAATGGATGCAAACTTCGCAACTGTATGTCTTAATGACTAATTCCTATAACGAATACATATTTTTGAAGTTAGCATAATTACCACCTTGCACATATTTATTTATAAAAACAATGCAACTGCAGTATAACAGGGAGACAAGTGTCACTGATCAGAATCCTATAGTCATCGTTTTAGTTTCGTATGTTATGTCTCTTAACGGTGGTTCCTGAAATCATAGGAGAGAGTGTTATCTGTATGGTAGCCAATAATCTGTGGCTCAACCCGTGAAATAGGCATCTCAAAGTTGACGATCTTTATTAAAATCCACTATTTTGGTTTTACAACGCTGTATATTTTGAGATGCGCATTAACTATACTAGTTAAAACCGGCAAGAGTGCACTATTAGAAAGAGCAGTCCTTTATTAGTAAGTCGCCGCATACAGTGCACGTGGTGTAAACAAATTTAAGACGAAACATGGAGTTGTCTCGTGAGAGTTATCGCGCTTTGATTTACCATGACCTTAAAGTCGGTTTAACTGAACATCAATGAATCGAACGGTTACAACAGCCATTTGGAAATGAAGCTCCGTCCCCGGGCAAGTGTGTTTCGCTGGTATGCCGAATTTAAAAGAAGGCGTGTTTCATAGGCTAATGAAGACCGTAGTGGTAGGGCATGTCCTAGTGTGACTCCAGAAAACATTGCTAAAGTTCAGCGGCTAATTGAAGAAGATAGTTGCACATATGCGACTATAGATGCAATTCTTGTTGTAGGATCCGCAACAGTGCACACCACTTTGCATGATCATCTTCATTCAAAAAAGTTGTTGCAGAGGTACAATCCTGCATCACGAGAATGCCTCTAGTCACACTGTCCACCTAACTGTAGACTTCTTACGCTAGCGAAATATCAAAATGTTAGAAGATCCGCCTTATTCGCAGGATTTGGCAGTGTGTGACTTCTGGCTCTTCATGAATTAGAAAAGAAATCTGAGTGGTCGAAAATTTTCGTCTGAAGAAGAAATCGGACAATCGGCTAACAATCAATTTATTGATAGCAACTCAAAAACTGACTGGTTAGAAGCATTCCATTTGTCAGGTTACAGAAGTGCAATGATGCTGGAGGAGAACACCTTAAACATAAATAAACTAGTTTTCGAAAAATAGTTTTTAGGTTTCATGTCTCTCAAAATATACAGCGTGGCGCTCGTATTAACATACCCAGTATCACTTGCACTACTAGCACGAATCCACCAACACCTCATATGTCAAAATACATCTTGTCGTTTTTACTGTAGCCCTTGATACAGAACTTTTGTCAGCATACATACCCACACGTGAAAGACATGACCCGCCTTCCAAGGCAATCGGGTAAAAGAATGTTCTATTGGGTACCCTACAGTGGTACCCCCTAAGTGATGTCACTGGCGATTCACTTTTTTTAATAAATCCTAAAAAATTTCAATAGCGTAGTATTGAGCTGGAGCCCTGTTTGATGGTGTTCATACTGCCTAATCCTTCAGCTGAGACAAGGAATTTCCGTTAAATTCCGATGAAATGAGACGTTTTTGAGGGAAACAGTATTGTTTCGATACCGCTCTCGTCGATTCACACCGCAGTCGATTCACAGAAAGTTCGGCAAAAATCCAAAACTTGATTAGGCGATCTGGAAACATATCCTGGAGTTTTTCGTGTCGCTGATCACTAATCTGTTATCGGAGCGGCTATAGTTTGAAATTGGCGGTTCTTGTATATTGTACCTAGTACCAAAACTCTGCTAAAACTTCCCAAAAGCGATTCAGCTTGTCGGTAGTAAATAAGACATATATTTTTTTACGAAGCTCAGAAATAATAACAAATATAAAAACGACAACATTGCAAGAGGAAAGAAGATTGGCTCTGCCACTTTTCACCTCCCCCTAAAAAGTTAGTTTCATGAGCGTTTATTTAACATCAAACAACAAATAGTATGCACAAGACAGCATATACAACGATATAGTCTGAGTGTTCATGGAAGATATTGTAGCAAGCGAAATAAATTTAATTTGTGAATTCAAATCTTTGTAGCTGTAGTAGCACTTTTTCATCTCATTTCAAGTTTTGTATGAAAGGTGCATCAAACAGCTCTAAATAATCGCTCAGTAGATATAGTACCATATAAGTAAAACATTTTTATGAACTTAGATGTTGTATGAACTTGAATACAGAAGTAGGCATTGTTACATAAGGAAATCTGGCGGACTGAACATCTTTTCTCTAAAGCAATAACCAGATATTTCATGCAACAATTTTTGTAATACCTGAATTTTGTGTTTCCGAAAGAAAACTATAATATACTGTAGCGCCATACGAGGGATGTCTTTTATGTTTTGCATACATATAGTAGGCCGCGCGGATTGAACGTCAGTACTGAATCTTAACATCACTCCTTAGTAAACTTAAATTCAAAGTTTCACAACAATAGGTTCAGTGTTCTCACTACAGTTAATTTTTAAGTGTCACCAAGTCATCAGAAAAATGGAACTCAACCGAGAACATTTTCGCGCCATAATTTATTACAACTTTCAGAGACAATTATCGCAACAAGAATGCCTTGCTGAGTTACTGCCTGTTTTGGGCATCGAAGCGCCACATCAGTCGACAATTTTCCGTTGGTATGAAGAATTCAAACGTGGACGGGTGAGTCTTAACGGCGATTCCAGGGTGGGTGCACCAAAAACGGCAGTCACCCAGGAAAACGTCGATGCTGTGCGCAAACTCATCATTGAAGATAGACATGTGACATATCGCGAGATTGAGGCGTCCTTGAAGATCACAAAGACCTCAATTCAAAAAATTGTACATGAAGAACTAGGGGTAAGAAAAATAGTTTCTCGTTGGATACCCCACCTGTTGACTGAAGAGCAGAAAGCAGCCAGGGTTAATTGGTGTCAAAGAACGCTTGACCGTTTCAATTCCGGAAACTCAAAAAATGTGTACAGCATTGTTAGTGGTGATGAATCGTGGATTTACTTGTATGAAGAAAAGCCAAACAAAAGTCATCCGTTCTCGAAGATGGTCGCGACATTTGTGTCAAAAGCGGGTCATACTGCAACAATTCCTTTTAATGAGCAAAGAACTGTTACTGAGGATTGCTGTACCACTATTTGTTTGCCAAAAGTCATCACCGAGCTTCGAAAAATCAACCCCGAGAGAAGAATCATACTCCACCAAGACAATGCAACCTCGCACACAGCCCAAAAAACAAGGCAGTATTTAACAGAAGAAAACGTGGAATTATTGGACCATCCTCCATATAGTCCCGATCTAAGTCCTAACGATTTCTTTACTTTCCCGAAAATTAAAAACAGACTGCGTGGTCAAAGGTTCCAGTCACCAGAAGAAGCAGTTGACGCATTCAAAAATGCCGGTTTGGATCTGCTAGCAAACAAGTGGAATAAGTGCTTTGAAAATTGGTTCGAGCGCATGCAGGTGTGTATTAGTCTTCGTGGAGAATACTTCGAAAAACAATAAAGTCATTTAAAACTACCTACCGTGTTGTTTTATTTCCATATGCAAAACTTAAAAGACATCCCTCGTAGCCTAGATGAGTGAGGATTAGTGCATTTCATTATAACCTTGTTTGAAACATGTTTGTATCTCCAAAGTAACTTATATTTACAATAGCATACTCGAAGTTAATTCATGATATGGCTCTCAAAACTTAAATTTGTGTCCAACAAAATTCCTAAATTCTTAGTCTCCTCTACAATTTCTACAGCTGTATCACCTAAATTATTTAGATTTTCAAATATTTAACCTAGAACCAATGCATAATGTCATTATTGAATCATCATTATACAGAATGTAAAAACAGCAATATCCCTGGAGACCTAAACGAGTTAATTGTGTTTTATGGATACCATCAAGTATCGCCTCAAATGGTTACTATGCCATTGACATGTCGTTGAATTATACACTGCCATTCAAAGGTTATTTAAGAGACATATTCCTCCCCTAATATACAGGGTGTTTCAGTTTATTGTTGCATAACTTTAAGATTCGATAGAACTTTTAAAATTATTGCATAAAGTCTATATAAATATGGGTCGAAAAATGCGTGGCTTCCGAAATATAGGATGTTTAAATTTACTTTCTAAAATAGTTTTTTTTAAATATTTCGAACAATATCCGATGTATACCAGTGAAAATTGGTACACAAGGGTTTTTTGGTACGACAAAACGAACCATGGGCATAGTTTTACTGTAGCCGCTAGAGGGCGCTCTCTACTTTACCTGTAGTGTACTAAAATGACCGAAAAATTTTTCTTAGTGCAATTTTTTGCTTTTTGAATGAAAAAACTGATTCTTCGCACTCTTCAACATAAAAAAGCTCTCTTGTGTATTTTCGTTGTAGTTAGCCGTTTTTGAGATATTTAGATTTTTAAGGTTCGATGGATTTTTAATTATTTATGATAAAATAACGTTAAAAAGTCAGTATCTCCATAATTTTTAGAAGTAGGCTGTGCCTGCAAATATTTTTTAAATTGAAAGCAGAATAAGGTTAAACGTCAATTAGTTGACAGTTAGTTTTGTTGTCTGTTGACACCTGAAACGTTTTTTTGCAATTGTGAATGAACGAAATTTAGTTTCTTTTACCTGTTTTTTTTTTTGTAAGTTTTATAAAAATGCCATTTTTATTCTCCAATCAAGAGTTAGCGGATATTCATTTTGTGTTTGGCTTTGTAAATGGAAACGCAGCAGAAGCAGCCAGAGAATATGCACGATGATTTCCAAACAGACGACATCCAACTCGCTCAGTATTTGTAAGAGTGCATCGCCAAATAATTGAAAATGGTTTTGGAAATCTCCAAAGGGATCAAAACATAAATGTTCGTCAGCGCAGATTTACCCGTATGATTCTGCGTGAGTTTGATAGAGATCCGACTACAAGTGTTAGCAGTTTCTGGTGCCTTGGGAATTTCAGCAAGCCATGTTCACCGTGTTCTTAAAAATGACCATAGACGTCCTTACCATTTGCAACCTGTGCAAGGACTACAGCCAGGGGACGGAGAACGAAGAATCACATTTTGTCGGTGGATTCTTGATAGAACTGATAAGAATAGGGAGTTTTTAAGTAACGTTTTATGGACCGATGAGTCATGCTTCACTAGACGTGGAGTGGTAAATTTTCATAATCAACATATTTGGTCGCACGAAAATCCGTATGCAGTTCGAGAAAGAAATTTTCAGCATGAATTTAGTGTGAACGTGTTGGATTGGTATCTACCGTAATCGACTATTTGGACCCCTACCTTTTGCCTGCAAGGTTAAATGCTGCGACCTTCTTGGAATTTTTAAAGGCTGAACATGCAAATATGTGGGATGATGTTATGTTAGATTTAAGAAGATTGGCCTGATTCCAGCTTGATGGTTGTCCAGCTCATTATTCGAGAATAGTTAGAAACTGGCTGGACGAAAATTATCCAGAAAGATGGATCGGCCCTGGAAGACCAGTCGCCTGGCCTCCACGATCCCCTGACCTAAATCCATTAGATTTCTTTGTGTGGGGATTTCTCAAAGAAAAAGTGTACCAGACTCGCGTAACCACAAGAGATATGCTAATAGACAGAATCAGGAATGCATGTGATGTGTTATTTGAATGATGCTATACCACGTTCGATCATTCGTAGATGTGCATTGTGTAAATTGTGTATTGAACAATTGGGCTTACATTTCGAGCAACTACTTTAGATTTTGTATGCTTGTCCTAACTATCCAATAGCATTTTAGTTGTAAATAATTAATTTAATTTGTTAAAAATAATATTGGAAAATTAAACAAATTAATATTCTGTTTTTTGTGTTTATTTGGAGTTAGGAATTATTGCTGTGTTTAAAAACACAGTCTAAACGATCGTCTTACTTACTTGTAATGCCCAAATCGAAAATGTAAAAAAAATATTATTTTCCCATAAATAATTAAAAATGCATCGAACCTTAAAAATCGAAATATCTCAAAAACGGCTAACTATAACGAAAATTCACAAGCGAGCTTTTTTATGCAGAAAAGTGCGAAGAATCAGTTTTTTTATTCAAAAAGCAAAAAATTGCACTAAGAGAAATTTTTCGGTCATTTTAATACACTGCAGGTACAGTAAAGAGCGCCCTCTAGCGGCTACAGTACAACTATGCACATGCTTCGTTTTGTCGTACCAAAAAACCCTTGTATACCAATTTTCACTGTTATACATCAAATATTGTTCGAAATATTTAAAAAAACCTATTTTAAAAAGTAAATTTAAACACCCTGTATTTCGGAAGCCACGCATTTTTCGACCCATGTTTATATAGACTTTATGCATTAATTTTATTAGTTCTATCGAATCTGAAAGTTATGCAACAATAAAATGAAACACCCTGTATACATACTTTTATCGAAACGGTGGTATTGTTCTATAGTTTTTTGACTAATTGCGTAGTAACGCTTTCACCGGCTGGACGAGTTGCCTACTGCAGGATGTGGGACACCAGGAATCGTGTCTTGTGAAACTTGGAACACTTGAGTGAAACATCTTACTTAGCCGGTTATCCTTTTTTTTTTTTGTTTGGAACAGTTTTTTCGATGGAAGTTTTGAGAGAAAAACGATGTACTAGAAAACAATGATTTTATTTCGCCAAAGTTTATATAGGGATGTTGTAGGGGCTCATCTACAGCAACCCTACCTTGCACTTTTGTACATCAAAGCAAATACATTTCTATAATATACACTTAACATCTAGTTTATTACAAATATATTACAGCGTGTTTCATCCATACACTATTCTCCTACGTATATTTAAGAACCGCAGCCCAAAAATATTGCATACTTCTTCATTCCTAATACTCCTGACTAAAACAAAAAATAAACTTATTGGCGAAGAAGCTGCTCACTTTTTGAAAATTGTCTGTCAACTCTAGGCGGTAACCACCTTCAAACAAGCCAACATTAGAGTGTATGGCCATGCATTTCAAGTACTTCAGCTAAAATAAACCTTCATATCAAATAGTGAGTAGTGAGAAATAAATAGCGAGATCCTCGCAATCTTGAAGGTATGTTATATTTCTCAGGCTCGGACGATATGTCAACGAAAATCTTCTAGATCCTACTTGTAGGTACAGAAAACTTAATAGTGTATAGATGTTAGAGTTATTATCTTCCCTGCCTGTCATTGACTACAGCTAAAAGTTTAGTCGACTCCAAAATAGTCCTACTTCTTTATATTGACATGTCAGTATTCTAATTTGATTATAAATATTTTTCAGAGCCGAGTGAAATTTGTGCTGAGTTTTGTCAAAGACAGACATTAACAATTACTTAATTCGGAATTGCCTATTATTGTCCCTTATAATATTAAAATTATTGATTTTTACTTATCGCCGTTTTTTTACGGAACGTTACGCAATCATCTAAATTCTAGCAATGCCGCTGTGACATAAAAATGTATATTATTAGAAAATCCCAGCAGAATTCCCAGTCAACTAACATAGCTGAGTATTGACTATACAATTATAATCATTTTTCGTGATATATTTTAGGAAAGACAATTCATATATGATCGCCATACAACACAAATGTTTCTATCCACTTACAAATTCCAAATTGTCTTTAGTAAAATTGTATCATTTTGTAGACTACACAAGCTCTTTCATTTGCTAGCAGTGTATTTTTGTATACCAACAACTACAAAAAAGAAAATGGAAGAAATTTTGTAGAAGAGCCATAAGAAAAACTGACACTTTTGGAATGCAATATTACTGAGTTCAATTGGGTGTCGTTCTGTGACACCCAAAGATACACGTAGTTTTATATTTTTTGTGACAAAAATCTCTTGCAGGCACCACCAAGAGATACATCAGCCCACAAAATCGTTATATAAAGTACATAAACTCTGGAATGCTGGAAATAATGAGCTACACGCCACACTATTTATAGATAAAAGCTTACAGGACGTGTGGGTAAAAAATGAGATTTCATAAATTATTGACGATTTAAGACACTAGAATGCTCCGAAGGTTCTTCAAAGTAACAGGAATCGATTTTCTAAAAAACATACTGAATTTTTCTAAGGCAATACATGGAAATGGGAAGCACATACATTCTTCTTATTTCTAATTATTGTTATTCTTCTATTGTACGTAAAAGCATATATCTACCGTCCATCTCTACTTTATTCCTATCTACTTTGCAATCTTTGACAGTTTGACCAATTAAACTGAACCTCATTTCACCATTCTACTATCGAAAATCATTATTGTTCAAAGATATCGCTTTGAAATGATCTTTAAGATGGTTAATTAAGTATAATTAAAATCATTTTTTGCAATATCCACCGAAAACCATCTTACAGGTCATAACCGCCACTAGCATGTTTTTCAGAGTAATACTGCATCAATTTTAGTTTCTGGAATTAATTAAAACTAAAGTGTATTTTCGTATCAGGCAAGCGGACTTGAAATACTATAGACTTCGTCATGGTATTTTATGTGCAGAAATGAATTCGATCTGTGTATAGAAGCTTAAGTATTGTTAAGTGATTTTGAATATATTACCCTGAAAATCAAGTTGACAAAGCGTGAGCTTCCGTAATTAAGTCATATGAAAATCGCCCTTCAAAATCCTCGTAAAGGTCTTTTTGAATTGCTGATTCGCTAGCGCATAACAAAACGGGTTCAAAGGACTATTCGCGTAGCACAAAAAGTAGAAAAACATATACAAATGACTATTGATACATGGCGGATTAGTACAAAAGCCTTCAACCAAAGCTACAATGTGGTATGGTGTCCAACACACCACGAACGCTCCTAAGATGAAGGAGATCGTCCTGAGAGCCTTCCTGGCTCTATTTTCTGATTTAGATTTCTGACGGCTTCCGAAGGCTCCCAAAGGTCCAATCGCTTTCTTCCCGCCTTTGAGCCTTTTTCCAATAGACTTCACGAAGACCTTCTTGGGGTTATCTGTCGAGTCTGCCTTGCAAAAGTTCGTATTACTATTGCTCACTTGGGGTAGGGCGGTGTTACCTGTCTGACTGATGGCGGAAATCCCCCCTTGACAAGGCGAACTAGGCTCAGTCCCAATCGTGTCTCTGGAAGCCTCGTTAACCACTGACGTCACAGGTCGGTCGCAGCTTATTTTGACCTCTGTCTGCAGCTTGCTTCTGGGCGGCTCCTGCTGTGTATTGCACGGGTTAGTTGGTGCTTCCGGTGGGGTTTCACATGTAGGGGAAGGTACTACAACTGAGCTTTCGTCCATGAAGCGGAGGTCGGCTCCGTCCAAGCCAAGCAGGAGGTCGTAAGTGGATTGAGCTTTGAGCATTAAGGTACACGGGGGAGGTCGCTTACTATCTACATAGGGTTGTAATGAGCTGTCGTAACTTCTACTATTTACAATGGGGTGATTTGTTGGGAGGTTAGGGCGGCTGGTACCACGTACCGTTTTGGCTTGTGGCAGTTGTGCTGATGACTTTGAGGGCTGATCTTCTGAAGACGGAGAGTCACGCTCACTTATTCGGACCAAAGGTTGCTTCTCTGGTTTCGGCTGGAATATAAATGCTCATTAGTTGAGTGCAAACCGTGACCTAAGATTCAATTCAGCCATTTTAAAACTATTGTTCTATAGCCTTTTATCGTGCATTTCTTATGGACTCCAGGACTTGTTTTTACGTTCTGCGCCAGTACATATGGTAAAATACTTTGAATGCAAAGTATTACCATTTACAGAATGATCCTAAGAGGAGATTAATCATACTAGAAAGATTAGAAAACATACAAATACTGGTGATTCCATCTAAAGGAACAAAACAAACAAGAAAAAGAAGCAAAGACACAGTTCATTCAAGTGAGAAACATATCATTAGTTATTTAAGTAATTTGTAGCTACTATCAGAATGTTCATGCTCAAACTGACAGCATGAATATGATAATAATTGCAAAAATATGTTTGTGCGAGTCATATCACAATGAAAGGTTTTAACGGTACGAGTTTGACTAGATGAGATATTTAAGTTTAATTGAGTCACAATCATTAGCATCAATTTGATTGTATGGCAGTTTATGAAAAAATAATTGTCCCACACTTCCTTCTCAGCGTTAAAGACTGAATTTGAAGCCTAGACAATAACAAACTTTCAGATATACCCTGCTCAGGAGATGTAACGTCAGCCTTGAAAGATAAAAATTTTAGAAACTTTCTCTGAACATGCTTAAAAGAATCAATGAAGCAGTTGTAAATTGGATTCTAAACTAAAGATGCATATTCCAATTTCGATTTAATATATGAAAAATACAAAACCAACAGTGAGTAGGCGGCTGAAGCTTCTGCAGTTGCTCACAATAAAGCCGTACGTCCGTGAAGCTCACCTTTTGAGCTATCAAAACCTTAATAGAGTTATAACGATTAATGTAAGCATCTCTAATCTTATAATTAAATGTACAAACAGAGGTTTTCCTTGAAAAAGGCACTCAGATGCATTAAGGAATAAATTATTCTCGTCACACCAAAGTACCAAGCCATCAATGTCCCGCTGAGTTCGAGACAATCAACCTCAGACTCAATAATCCTGGATAATTTTAATTTTAAGTCATTCGCAATATCATTAATAAATTTCCTGACGTGCAATTTGGCTTTCGGTCTGAGCATAGTACGGAGCTACAGGCCATAAGGCTTGTTGAACGAGTAACCAGGGGGTTCACCCGTAACGAAAGTACTGGCATCTTGCTATTGGATGTCTCAAAGGCATTTGACAAGGTGTGGCACAAGGGCCTTCTCTACAAATTGATCCATAAGGGCTTCCCCTTCTGGTTCCTAAAACTTTTAAAATCCTATCTCGAGGGTAGGATATTTCGGATCAAAATTAATAACGTTCTGTCGACAATACGGCCCAACAAAGCCGGTGGGTTTGGATCTTGGACCAGTCCTTTATTCACTTTTTATTCATGACGTCCCTTGCCCCAGCAGCTGTGAAACCTATCTCTATGCTGATGATATTGCCCTGGTGGCCCAGTCGTGCTATGGGGATCTAGTTCACGACAGGCTGCAAAGTGCAGTGGACGAAGTATTGGAATGCGCGAATCGGTGGCTGATCAAAATTAACCATTCGGAAACGCAGGCAATCTATTGTACTAAAAAACGTAGCGGCGCCCCGTCTGAGGTTTCAGTGAATGGAGCTCGGCTACCATAGGAAAGCTCTGCTAAGTATCTCATTGTCACTCTTGACAAGGGGATAACCTGGCAGAAGCACACTGAAGCGTTAAAAACTAAATTCCAACTCTCGTTTCGGCAACTCTACCCTATGCTATGTAGAACATCAAAATTAAGTTTGATCAACAAAGTTCGGTTATACAAGATGGTAATTAGACCAGCGATCACTTACGCAAGTGCGGCTTGGTGTTTTCTCGCCAAAACGCATTTGCGTAGCCTGCAGGTTTTGCAGAACAGAACCTTGCGTACAATCACTAACGTCCCATGGTATGTTTCTAACGAAACCCTTCACAGATACCTTGACATCCCTTACCTAAGGGACTACATCAAACAACAAGCGCAGCTACGTTACAGTCAAGCAGAACCGCATAACAACCCTTTGTTGCGCGAGTCAGTAGACTACACAGTCGAGCAAGTTCGCAAGCACACAAGGCCGCGAGTCGCACTGTGAACAAAATTAAATCGTGCGACTCTAGGTCCAACCAAAATTATTCTTCAACAACCAATCCCAAAATTAATTTTAGGATCAATTTAAAATTGCCGAATACTAACTAGCAATGCCAAGGCACCCCTCAAATTGATGCACTTCTTTTTTCTTTGCTCTCCCTCCTTACCTCCTTTCTTCTTCCCTTCTTTCTCCCTGACTTTGTTTGGTATCTGGGCAACCAGACCTGACAGACCTATTGACTTACAAGGCTTCAACCAAGAGCACAGGTCCTACGGACCGCTCTAACAGACAATGACGAATAGTATCATTAATAAATGAGGTAAACAATAAAGAATCAAGATGCACTCCCGATTCAATTACATACTGGTAGGACTTGAAGCCATTGAAAGTAACATAATTGCTTCCTTTCATAAAGATAAGTTTGAATGAAAATAGCTCTGTAAGCCCTTTCTTACGTACCGTTGGCTCCCGACATCTTTCTGATACGGAATTCAATGGGATCTTGGCGGGGGAGATATCCCCGTTGACGCGGTTGGCTAAAAACAGCGGAGCACTGGACTGCATCATCAGTCCCACCACGGAAGTCCTCTTCTTGCCTCCAGATGTCGTTACTTGAGGTTTGTTCTCTTGGACAGCAGGCGCCGTGCTGTCTTCATCTGAGTCAAAAGCTGGACTGCTTGAGCGCTCGGATTTGTCCGTCGCATTGTCAGGTGGAGGCTGAAATAGTATTACAATGGTAATTTGACATTTGAGGATAGAGCTCCAAATATACAGCAAATAAAGTATTGCTGCCTCTAAAATACTAAATTGCTTGCTTAATGAGCGACACTCAAGAGTATAACACAAAAAAGGCAATATAAAACACTTCCACGAGGTACCAGGAAACCTAAGATGAGTCTATAATGCTATGCTTACAGGTTTTCCTGCTGGCAGAGTCAAGTTTTTCTTCTCGCTAGCTGTCGCAGTAGTTGTGGTAGTTGTGGTAGTGGTTGTGCTGTTCTTTATTGATCCAGTCGTCTTTTGACTAGAATTTGAGTCACCTGACCCAGCAGCTTGATATGATTCAGACACTGTTAGTGTTTTCCTTTCGCCACCTATGAAATTTCAAATATAAGACAGATATACGTTATTTACTACATTCGGTTGCGCAACTCATGGAATTTTTGCTTCGCTTTTTTACACGCTTCTTTTTATTTTTGCATTATTCCTATAAGTAAAATTCTGTAAAAAGCAGATATTAATAAAAAGCCACGCACTTCAAATACCGCCGTACGAATTCTGAAACTAGAAGCCCCTGTAGCTGAGTTGCAAAGCCCTGATCTTGTAAGACAGGGTTCGTGAGTTCAATCCTCACAGAAAGCAAATTGTGGTATACCTTTTTTATTTATTTTTTTGACACGCTTCTATTAGATTGGCCTGTAGGGGAAGGGGGGGCATAATGGTGACGCGGGGCACGACGGGGCCATCAACATATCTATATCTAGATAACTACGCACACGTGTGTTGTCACCGCCAACAGCCGACCATGTTGCATCACTCTTCAGTCTGACAGTATCCGGCGATTAGGCTGCGCGCGCTTTTGTTTTATAACCTATAATTGTTTTCGGCGTCATTTCATCTAATTTTAAGTGGTTACAAAAACGCATATAAAAAGGTAAGTGTTCAGAGTAATACCATCGATTTTGTGTTGTGTTTTTAAGAGACATCAATTATTGATATGTTTTGGAAAACATCTCTGTAACTACCAATTTTTTTTGTTTGTTCGAAATTAAAAAAATGTTACACATGGGGGCATAACGGGGCCGTGGTGATGAGGTAAAATGGGGTACCCTATTGTGCCTCGTCACTGTTGTCCCCATTACGCCCCTGTTATGTAAGCTGTTTGAATAATCTGTTTATTTGTGAATAGGATTCATTTTGTTGCAGATAAAAAATGGTACGTACGTACAAAAAGAAAAGTTCCAGAGACAGTTGGTCTAAAGAAAGCATGAACACAAGCAATTGATGCAGTTTTGAGCAAAACAATAGGCTACAGAAAAGCATCTCAACTCTACGGTGTTCCACAAACTACATTGGAGCGTTATGTCGTCAAAACACGAAAGGGCGAGGTGTCCCTCAACTCCACTCCAGGTAACTTTAAACCTGTATTTTCCAAAAAAGAAGAAGATGAGCTCGTGAGGTATATTAAAGAAATTGAGAAACGTCTGTTCGAATTAACCACTGTCGTCCTACGAAGGCTGGCTTATCAGTTGGCGGAGAAAAATTCTAAAGCTCATAATTTTAACCATGATAAAATGATGGCTGGCGTAGATTGGTTGAAAGGATTCATGAAACGTCATCCAGATTTATCCATCCGCAAATCAGAAGCCACAACAGCAGCTCGGGCAATGGGGTTCAACAAAGTGGCATTGGATAAATTTTATTCTTTGCTCGGGGAAATATATGATAAATATAATCTAAGGCCAGATAGGATATATAATTGATGAGACTGGCATATCATGTGTCTCCAAAACAAAGAGCCAAATAATTGCAGAAAAGGGAAGGAAACAGGTAGGCTCACTTTCTTCAGCAGACCGAGGGCAGACGGTCACGGTTGAAGTAAGTTTTAATGCAGCTGGAACTTACATGCCTCCCATGCTGATATTTCGTCGACAGAGAATGAAGCAGGAGTTATTGGATCACGCTCCTCCAGGAACCACGGCAGAATGCAATGCTCGAGGCTTGATGACTACTGAGACATTTATGACGTGGTTCCAACGGTTTGTCAAGTTTTCTGGTGCGTCAATAACTAACCCGGTCTTGCTGCTTCTAGATGGTCATGTAACGGTCACACAAAACTTAGAGGTTATTGAAAGTGCACGTAAGAATGGAGTTGTAATGCTTTGCTTTCCCCCTCACTGCACCCACAGACTCCAACCTTTGGATATTGGCTTTATGAAACCTCTGAGTCTATATTATGACCAAGCTTGTTCTAACTGGTTAAGGGCGAATAATAACAACTTTTCAAATAAGCGAAATCTTTGCACAAATATATACTCAAGCTGCAACAATGGCTACAGCGATCAATGCATTAAAAAAATGTGGCATATGGCCATTCAATCAAAGCAACTTCACAGATTCAGATTTTTTAGCTGCATCAACAACAGACGTACCGCTGAGAAATAACGAGCCTGAGACAGGTGCTTCATCTGCTGAAATCCAGCAATATCCACCGCTTTCCCTTAAAGAGCACCCACTTGAACAAGTTTTGCCTCTAGCTACGCCACCACATCAGAAAACTCCTATGCCAAGTCCGCAGCCTGGACCATCTATACAAAACGAAGACAGTGTGATCCGATCTCCAATTCGAAGAGTATGTCGTGACTTAACAACTTCCTTTGAAAATGCTTCTCCCAAGGACATTATCGCGATCCCAACAGTCGAATAAAGAAACCAAACGAGGAAAAATTATCGCAGAGGGAAAACTGTTGTTCTCACTTCAACCCCCTACAAAAATGAGTTGAAAGAACGTGAAAATCTTAAACAGACGAAGAAGTGTTCAAATCCTAATGATCCCGGTTTGAAGAGAAATGCGAAGAGACAGAAGAAGAAGGACGTAGAAAAAGTAGACAAGGATATCTTATGCCTCTATTGCGTTGACGAGAACTATAGTTACTTGAAGTCTGCAGAGAATTGGGTGGCCTGCCAGCTGTGTGAACGTTAGTCATACAGCCTGTGCTGGAATTGACGACAAAAAGTCGAAAGAAATCCACATCTGCTGATACCGTGAAGCAATATAACTATGTACCCCGTACTGCCCCTACCGTGCGGCCCAATGGGGATTTAATAAGGATTTCATAGAATTAAATTTAAGGATATTATTTGATTAGTTACTTTACGAAAGTCTGTGCCAAATGAATCTGTAATATGCAACCAAAGTATCAAGATTAGTTTTGATTGAAAAATACGTAGTCATGCCATAAGTTCTGTCCCTCGTTTTCAAACAAGTGTAGACCTGTTAATACTTGTCCGATTGTTTACATTGTGGTGTCAGTTGATTAAGCGCTTTTCGGGTAATTACATATACCTCAGTTTGTATTGATCTCTCGAAGCATAACGATGGAGTGGGGCAAGGCAGAGAACCGTATTGCAGTGATAGCTTTACATAAGTGTAATCACAGTGCTAGTCAGATTTTTGAACTCTTACGCGGCCTTCAAATATCGCGTAAATTTGTGTCTAGGACCATTCAGCGGTACAATGAGACGTCATCTGTTGATGACAGGCCAAGAAGCGGAAGACCTCGTCAAGTAAGGACTCCAGCAGCCATCAAAGCCGTAAAAGCCAGGATCAAAGGAATCCACTCCGGAAGCAGAAGATCCTATCCAGGGAAATGAAGATTCCTGTCCGGACGATGTCGCGCATCATTAAACAAGACCTAAGGCTAGGGGCTTACCGGAGACGTACCGGCCAGCGACTTACGGCCACTTTGCGACACATCAGGGCGACAAGATCCAAGAAGCTCTTGGAGAGGTACGCAGCTGGGGGATTCCGAAAGATTTTGTTCACGGATGAGAAAATCTTCACAATAGAAGAAAAATTCAACCGACAAAATGACAAAGTGTATGCAAGGAGTTCACAGGAAGCTTCGGAGATCATTCCGAGAGTTGAGAGAGGCCACCACCCTGCGTCAGTCATGGTTTGGTGGGGGGTGTCCTACGAAGGGGTCACTCAGCTCCATTTCTGTAAACAGGGCGTGAAAACAAAAGCGGCAAACTATCAGAGCGACATACTGGATCCTATCGTCAAGCCTTTAAGTGGTACATTGTTTGCCAACCAACACTGGGTCTACCAGCAGGATTCCGCCCCCGCTCACAAGGCTAAGAGTACGCAGCGCTGGCTGGAAAGCAATGTGCCAGAGTTCATTGCTGCGGAAGATTGGCCCTCAGGGAGTCCGGACCTCAATCCTTTAGACTACAAGTTGTGGGACCTGCTAGAGCAGTTGGCCTGCTCCAAAGCCCACCGTAATATCGAGTCCCTGAAAGCGGATTTGATCCGATCAGCGGCAGCTATTCCTTTGGAAGCTGTGCGTGCAGTGATAGATGAGTGGCCCGCGAGATTGAAGCAGTGTGTGAAGGCCAAGGGGGGACATTTTGAATAAAACTGTTTGATTATGAATTCTAAAAATGTTGTCGAATAAATAATATCTTTCATATAAATATATCTTATCTTGTTTCATTTTTATCATGAGATTATCATGGGACAGAACTTATGGCACGACTACGTATATTTTGTTTATTCTTTTATTCTTTATTTTCCTTAACGTCCCCGTTATGCCCCCCTCTCCCCTATGTATGTTTGTATGCACGTAACGGAATCTTTGAGCATAATTTTCACCAATTTCAAGAAGTTTGATTAATTTGAAACTTTGCACACGTATCAAGGATGGATGACAATGCATTAATTTAATAACAGTTTTCCATTGTCCTTACTGGGGACCGCCAGGATTAATACATATTTTTATAAATCCTTTGTAGGGGAGTAAGAGAGATAGAACAAGGAAACAATATCAAACGGCTATAAATCATAAAACAGTCCTTATTTTATCATGGTTCCTTAATATCTTTTAACTACATTGCATTTGTATATAATAAAGCAACTAGCTAGAAGTATTTTATAGAAAAAATGAACAAAGTATAACCTTATTTGTACATTCAGCTAAAGACCACAGATGAAAAGGTACGTTTTTTAAAATCTAAGAAAAAAATCAATATCTCAAAAACGGAAGCACTTTTAAATACGTAAGTTTGTGTTATTTGGGGGGTCAGTCCAAAGCCTACCTTCTCCTTAAGTTTGTCTTGGTACTTATTGGACCTGTATGTACAATAATTCACAGAATCAAAGCAGTCACGTGACAACCTCAATTAATTGAGGTTATCAGTGACGCACATGGTTGCCAAGTTACATAAAACTGCTAGATCCTAGGAAATAAACCACAAATAAACAACAGTCGTTGGCGTAATTACCTGGCAAGGTATGTAACAGTGTCTCAACCCAGAAAACGTTTGCCAACATAAATGTACCGGAGAAATTCAAACTATACTTACCAATTTAGGATCTACTTTGCAATAAGGCTGGCATTCAGATTTACTAAATATGGCGTAACTGCTTTGTTTCACTTCATAGTAATTCGTAATAACCTTTTTTTATAAATGAATTGTAGATGATTTTATTTTGTTTGTCGTCCTTCTTTTGCCAAGAATTTCTACATTTGTGGACAAAATACCGATTTTATTATGACGTCCATCTGCCTTGACGAAACTATGAGCGCTGCATTCAACCATAAGCTATCCTTATGTTAGTGGTATCGGAGTACTTTCCTGATAAATGTCTCCTGAGTATACAGCTTTGTAGTTTACCCGTCAGATTGAGGGAAAACGGATTTCATGAGGATAGAACATCAACTTGTTTATAACTCTTCGCGCATTGTGCATGTTTGATCTATGAATAACTACATACCGTGGATATACGTCATATACAGGGTTTGTCCGGAAAGTAATAGGACTGAGTCAATTTAAAAAAAATATTGAGCCAATCGTTACAGTTCCTTAAAAACATTCAAAATAAGCTCCTTCTGCGTCGATGCAGCGCTGCCAGCGCGATTGCCAAGCATTGAAGGCGTCACGGAAGGCATTCCCCGGAATAGCCTTGAGAGCATGCTGCTTGGATCCCCTCTGTCGTCTCAAAATGCTTGCCTTTCATCGGCCTTTTCAGGCGAGGAAACAAAAAAAAGTCCAGGGGGCCACATCTGGGCTATAGGGCGGCTGCGGAAGCGTTGGGATGCCGGCCTTGGTCAGGTAGCTGTTCACAAGAAAGGCGGTGTGAGCCGGGGCGTTGTCGTGGTGCAACTTCCAGTCGGCTGCGATGTCTTGTCGGACCCGACTGAGCCTTCGTTTGAGTCTCCTGAGCACGTCCTCGTAAAACTTGGCGTTGACGGTTTGTCCAGGAGGAACAAATTCATGGTGGACGATGCCTTTGATCTCAAAAAAGACAATGAGCATCGTTTTCACTTTGGATTTGCTTATTCTTCCCTTTTTTGGGCGAGGAGACGCCGTCGTGACCCACTCGGAAGATTGCCTCTTTGTCTCGGGATCATACTCAGAGATCCACGACTCGTCACCTAGGATTACGTTATTCAAAAATTGGGGGTCACTTTCACACATGTTCAAATTTTCTTGGCACACTTCCACTCGCCTGGTCGTCAGTGAGCACTTGTGGGACCATCTTCGCGCACACCTTGCGCATGTTCAAATGCTGTGTCGCAATGTCATAAACCACAGATTTTGGTAAATTTAACATCTGGGCAATTAAAGGAATACTTAGTCGACGGTCTGAGTTCAAAACTTTGCGCACACGAGTCACATTATCGGTGTTTGTCGAAGTCGAAGGTCTTCCAACACCTAGGTAAGCCTGCTTGATCATATCAAACGTCTCTGTGGCATATTTACTGAGTTTCACACAGAATTTAATCGCGTACCTCTGCTCTAACGAACGCTGCATTTTCGGCTTGCACCACTCACAGAAACACGTCGCGCGAAAATGCCAGTCCTGACTCTCCATGTGCTCGGAGACAACTGACCAGCCACTCATTCGTTAGCTAGGCACGCCCTCTACCGAATCCAGTCGGTGCGCGCACGCTCCGAAGTACAGTCATGGCGGAAGAAAATGAGTCCTATTACTTTTCGGACAAACCCTGTAGATGGTGTTTCCAAAAGCAACTTGATATAATTTTGTCTTTGTTGAAATTGAAGCCAATTAATCTTGTGCCAAAATTTTAAGGCCATACGTTACCAATCAGTATATCAGCTGCCACCTTGTCATAAAGTAATTTTATTAACCATTACGCTAGTTAAATTTTTTGTGTTAAACGCTGTTAATAAATTTGCATTTGAACTTTTCTGCCATTTATTTGTTTTCATCCGTCAACACTGACTCACACTTATTGACCAGTGCTGACTGCTGTTCTTTTCCATCTGATGTTATTATTTCCAACGGGGGTTGACATCTAGATTTTCTGCTAAGCAAACCCCAGCTGTTCTTCCACCATGGCGTTCATGGTGCCAGGACCAAAAAAAACTTCATGGTTGCCGGCCCTCACTGAATTTTGATTATGGTTCCTATCATGCACAGCTTAGTGGATATCCAAATTCTGCTAGAAAAAGTCGAATCAGCTAGCAGGCAGACCTTCTCTATCGGAAAAAGGTAGCAATTTCAGCGCTCACCCATGCTTTTGGTAAGAAATACAATAACTGGCACCTCGCCATTGACTAATAGTACTAAGCTTGCCCTTTCCTTACATTGTTGGTGCTATTTGGAACTTTTACGTTTCAATTTTGCGATACCGACTCACTTGTTTGCTTATTCTCCCTGGCATGCTGACCAGCGGTCGGCGCTGACTGCTGCACTTTCCCATCCGAGGTCATTACGTCCAGCAAAGGGTTAGCTCCAGGTTTTCCTGCCAATCCAACTCCTGCGGCCCTTCCCACCATTCCGCTCATGGCGCCCGCGCTCAGCGCCACCATTGATTGCATCTTGCGCTGCTTCGCTTCGCTTTTCTTCTGCATATCGAAGGCAGTCTTGTAAATTCCTGTAGAGAATAATTTTAAGGTTAGAATTATATGACGAATTAATATAATAATAAAAATATTCAAAAGACGATCAATAAGGTTTTCTAGATTGAAGCCCATTTTAAAGAATAACCCAATTCATTCTCGTTTTCCCGCTAGTGTGTTGTGCGTGAATTCTGTTTTGTACCAGAGAAAGTTCGTCATTCTCATGATTTTCTTTATCTTTATCTGAGTCTTGTTCAATTAACTAAGTCAGGATGGCCCAAGCTCTTCGCAACATTATGGAGTACAATACAAGCAATAATTATTTTCGGCACATTTTCCAACTTTACGCGGCAATCATTCTGTAGGATAGGAAACCGGAGTTTCAGTTGGCCGAAACAGCGTTCAATTATAACTCTCTCTTGTTTTAAGAGCTTATTATAATTTATTTATGCACCTGGAGTAGGATTTCTGAAGGGAGTCATAAGGCATGGCTCAATACCATAACCGTCATCGCCAAGTAGTACAACATTTGCTTTATTTATTAGCTGTGATCTAGTCTGTGAATTTCTCCATATTCTGGAATCATGCACTGATCCAGGCCAACTGGCATCAACACTTGTGGACATCTCTCTGACATCGCAAGTGGCTTGCACATTTAAAGTAGGTGTCCCTTTTCGGTTGATATACTTATCTCCATGGAGATTTGTTTTCAGGATGCCTATATGTGTACAATCAATTACACCAATTGCTTTGCCATATCCGCTTGGCCTTCATCCGTTCATGGTTGGTAGTTGGAAACTTGATCCATTCGTTCGACTGTGCAACTATGCTTTTCACAATTCTATCCTCAGTCCGAGATACCGTTGCTTGACTAACACCAAGTTCCTGACCAATACCTTGTTGATAGTTTCCTCATTCTCAACTAAAAATCTGTCCGCAAGCCATTGTACATTTGTTTCGTCCAACCGATATAATTTTTTGAAGTCACGAGCTAGGAAGGTAAACGAGGTTTGTACGTTTTAACATCCCTAACATCCAAAATTTCCGCCATCATCGTTTGACCGCCTTTCGTTACAAAGTTGAGTCTGCTACTGACCACACTCAGAATTTTTCAAGGATATGCTTCCTATGGCAAGTATAAGGTGAAGATCATGAATATCCTTTTACTTATGTCACTGCTTTGAAGGATATGCTTATACTCAAAAAGCAAAAGCATTTACTTCAAATTATTACACCATCTGGAGGATTTCCTTCAAAATTTGCAAGTACAAGGATATCCTTTGTTTTATGAATACGGCTCATTGAATCTAACTGAACTCAGGACTGATTGCAAAACTTCTAACACCAACCACACAGCACATTAGTTTTCAGAGATATTTCATGTCTTTCCCAATATTACATATCAGAATTTGTATTTCGTGCCTTTTTCAGAAATATTGATTTTGTAATATTTCGCAATTTATGTTTAAAAGATATTACTGAAGCGAGGGATAAGTAATATTCCATCTTATTGTTTCTGAAATATCACTGATATTTTTTAAATATTTCAATAGATTTGATTTAGATAAGCAGATATTAGCAGGTTTATTGCTTCCAAGGTAATATCAATGTAATAGGTATAGTCAACGCCAAACAAAGTGGCGTGCACGTCATCACGATAAAAATTCCCCGACCTAATGCCTAGGTTTCTATCACAAACAATTGCTCTATTGCAGTTTCATATTAATGTGATATATAAATTGTAAAATGGTCATTACTCTCTTATTATGGTTAATAGTCATATAAACATTGTTATTAAAATATCACATAAGTTGCTTTCTGATAAATTTAGACGCATTATGCGAAATAAAATGTTTTGCAAACGCTCCAATCACTTATCGACACGTAAACGCACTAAACCGATTTCGCAGCGTTGACACATTGTCACCTTGAAACTTATTTAAACTGGGAACTGACATTTGTATTAATTTTGACACTGAATCAATTTGTGGCATTTCAAATCTTTATAAATCCTTTGGCCCCGCATACTGTAAATCAACAACTGTTTGTTTCAAAACAAAATTATTCATTTTACGAGTAGATAAAGGCAATTTTGGTATATAAAGATGCCCAAACAGTTAAATAGTCGGTGTAAGGAACTCGTGGCCTCGTTAATGCACTACTTTGAGCAAGAAAGGGACAACAACGGGCCTTTGTTGCCTTTAAATGCTGTTCAAGAGGTAGGTTACTAATAATTATATGTAATGTATATTAATAATAGTGAAATTTTATTTCATTTTTTGTAGCGTGTTGCTGCTGCTTTAAAAATTAGTTTAAGGACAGTTAGTCGTATTTCCGAGGGTGTGAAAAGTGATGCAAATTTAGAATCGCCCAAGAAAAAGCGGAGTTATATTAAACGTGTAACCAACACAGCGACATTGGATACAAGTGCCATTCGAGAAGTGATCTATAATATGTATCACAAAAGTAAGATCTTATTATAATAACTTATCAGAAATTTGCATTAATTTGTTAAGTAAATTATAATGTCATATTACACATGGTTTCAGAAGAACAAGTTACGATACAAACTTTATGGTCTCGATTAAGAGATAGGGCATTATTTGATGGTAGTGCCACGTCTTTAAGGCGGTTGCTTAGAGATCTTGGATTTAAGTGGCTTAAGGACAATCCGCGACGAGGGCTCATGTAACTACCAAGTATAGCTTTGAAAAGGGTGGAATTTCTAAGGCAATACAATCAAGCCAAGGTTGAGGCCTTATACCAGTTTGTCTTCCTCGATGAAACTTGGATATTTCAAAATGGGACCATAGGTCGCTCTTGGCAAAATGGAAACCAACAAAGCGTGAAAGCTATTAAAACAGATGGTGAAAGGTATGTACTTTTACACAATTTGCACTATAAAATTTAAAACTAATATATTTTAGATACATTATATTACATGCTGGAAATGAAAGTGGGTTTATTGAGGGTAGTGAAGCGATATTTTCTTCGAAAACAAAATTGAGCGATTACCATGGAGAGATGAACCAGGACAATTTTTTGAAATGGTTTCAACATCAGTTATTAGAAAAATTGGAGAGTCCATCTATGATTATACTGGATAACGCCCCTTATCACAGCATGATATTGAACAAAGTGCCCAACAATGCATGGACAAAAAAAAATATCCAAGACTGGTTGACAAATCAAAACATACCATTTTTAAACACAATGTTTAAAACAGAGCTATTGAGTATTGTTGCTCGGTACATAATGCTTCTTAATTATATATATTTTGATCGACAGTTTATATTTCTTTTGTTTATTCCTATTCTTAAAATAACTGCTTTTTTAGAAACAAACCACCTAAAATATACGTGATTGATGAATTGGCGGAACAACATGGGCACAAAGTTCTTCGTCTGCCTCCTTACCATTGTATATTTAACCCTATTGAGTTAATTTGGGGCATAGCAAAAGGTTACTATAACAGACATATTGGTAGAGATGGTAACAGTGAAAAAGACTGTTTGGATATGTGGAACGAGGCTCTACAAACGGTTACCCCAGACATGTGGAAAAATAGTGTTCGACATACTGAGCAAGAAATTTTTAAATGGTATGAAAGAGAACGAATTTTTGATCGACCAGACATCGAACCTTTAATAATCAACTTTGAGAGTGATGAAGATTCAGATTCAGACAGCGCTGAAGAAAGAAACTCCGACTAACTTTATTGTACAGAAAAAGCTTACACCAGTAGCTTACTTAATTTTAGAATGCATTTTTCTGTATGAATTCTGTAAAATAAATACCATGCATAAAATTTGGAGGACCCCATTTGGATTTTTATTCAGTACCTTTAAGCTATCAATTAAATATGGTAGTTTCATAGTGTCATCTGATCAATAATTGTCATACTTAATGATTATGCAAGTACAGATCTATAATTTTATTATACTATTATTTTTGTTCTCATTTGAGGTTAATATTGCTTATAAACCTAGATATGTAAATAATAAATTTTATTATTTTACAAAAAGTTTGGCAACAATGTACGTAAATTTTTCAACACACCCACCTTGATGACGTGCACGCCACTTTGTTTGGCGTTGACTATACACGTATGCACATCAATGGGTGTAATTACGACGAAAATGTATAAAAATTGTGTTTTCTTGACTAGTATAATATATTTATAATTAATAACCATTAAAAATATATTGGCGAAGAAAAAAAGACACCCACATACGCGATAATACATAAGAACAGCTGATCCTGAACTTGGCGCCATTAGAATTCGAACCTTGTGTGAAAAAAGTCCGATGTTGCCCACTTAGCCTAAACCTAAAGAACGTTGATTACACTTTTCTATCGGAAAACCTAGGTTTTCTCAGTGCAAAAAGCTCGGTTTTAGATGGATTGTCAAATCGCCTGAATAGCCAGCGATACGTGCTTATCGACAACACACATTAACTTTCTTTGTTTTTGTTTTTTTTAGTCTTGGGAAGGATTTGTTGCCGTTACCGAACGCCAAAGCTCATATTAGGTAATGAATATAAGTGTGACTCCATTATTTAGAGGAAATGCTTCCTAATTAGCCAGTTTCAAGCAATCATGTGACTCAATTATTTAGAGGAAATGCTTCCAGTACGAGTGTTCCTCTGTCGCTATTTGCCGTGATCGATTGCCGTCTTCCTGTTTTCTCAAGTTTGGTCTCCTCGGCTACCTTGGTAAATATATGTTGTGCATTCAAGTCAAGTGCTTGAGATTGCGCTTACGAATTTACCAATGGTGTACACAATGCTTATTGAGATCGCGTTCAATTTCTTGATGTAAAATCAACAGTTCATAAATGTAATAACAGCATCAGATTTGATTATTTCCAGTTATTAATATTCACCAAGATAGATTGAAACAAATGTTGACCAATTAATTATAATAAAATTAGATGATTATTGATTTTTATGGAATCTCAAATTTTCACATACATACAGGGTGGCGCATCGAAAACGAAACAGACGCAATCAAAGGCAGCTCAGTTTTTTTGTAAACGCTCAGATCCGTCGATTTTTTCTTCGAGAGGGACACAAGTTTGGTAAAAAATCAGGTTAGCACGTGCAGCGCCCTAAGCGGGGGTGACACCACCCCCAAAATCTTAAATTGAAAGAGGGGTCGAGTGATACCTTATTTTAAAGGTCTTTCAATTCCCTTTATAATGATATAAAATTAATGTACTTCAGTTCAGTAGTTTTGAAGATTTATTGATTTAGAGCTTAAATAAAACTAATACATCATCGTTAGTGGAGATCAATACATTTGGCAGCAAATTAATTTAAAAATGAAGAATGAACTGACCAGTTAGGCAAGTAAATGTTGAAAATGGCCACCATGACTCTCCATGCACTAATAAAGATTTTGCTCAAAATGTTGTCGCACATTTTGCAGTATTTGAGAAGTAATTTGAAGGCACTAATTCACAATTCTTTGTCGCAGGTCTTCTAATTATGTTGGCTGAGTAGCATAGATTTTGCTTTTTAAATGACCCCACATAAAGAAATCCAAAGGTGATAAATCTGGGGATATTGTTTACCATTCAATGGCACCTCTTCTACCAATCCATCGATCTGGAAACGTCTGATCTAAATATTGTCGAACACGTAATGCGTAATGTACATTTCACCGGTCAAATTTCCAGGTAAGAAAAAAGGACCAACTAAATGATCGCCAAAAATATCAGCCCAAACATTTAATTTTTGTGACTGCTGTGTATGAACCTCATGATAAATTCTGGGATTAGAATCGGACCAATATCGGCAGTTATGACAATTTACTACGCCATTTAAGAAAAAGGAACATGCGTCGGAAAAGCAAGCGTTGAATGGAAAATTGTAATTGCCGATCAAAATCGTCTTCATTAAGTTCTTGTACCAGGTGAATTTTACACGAATGAAAACTATGGGCCTTTAGCATCCGTTGGACAGTACGTCGACTAACACCATACAGTCTCCAATTTGCGGGTACTCAACGTAGGATCTACATAAACTTGCCCTAAAACCCCCACTTCTATTGCTTCGTTCCTTATGGGATTTCCAATGCTGCGTTTTTTATTGGCGACTGACCCAGTTTCCCGAAATTTAGCTACAAGTTCTAGAACATATCTTCGACGCACGTTACTGTTCCCATGTCGCTCATTAAATATTTCTGCTGTTCTATTAACGCACTGATTATTTCCGTAAAATATTTCGATAATTTCAACTCTTTCTGCTGTGGAATATACCATGGTTTATGTAATAAAGCGTTACAGGTTATTTTAACAACAAAGTTTGGTCAAATCAATCTTAAACTATGTACTAAATTCCTATTTGAAATAGGAACGAGATACTACTTTCTTCAAGAAGTTACTTTTTGCCACAAAAAAACGCTCCACTAGCTATTTTCAACAACAAAATGATAAACAAACCATGGGCGTAGTGAAGAAAAGCATTTACTTATTAAGTAAATTCTTTCAGTCAAATTTCTTCTGAAAGTAGTACAAACTAATCTGATGTACCTATTAAAGTCTACTTTAAGCTTTAATTCAATAAGTCTTCAACACTACTGAACTGAAGCTCATGTATTTTACATCATTATAAAGGGAATTGAAAGACCTTTAAAATAAGGTATCACTCGACCCCCCTTTCCATTTAGGATTTTAGGTTTGGTGTCACCTCCACCCAGGGGGCTGCACGTATTAACGTGATTTTTTGCCAAACTGATGTCCCCTCGAAAACAAGATCTACGGGTCTGAGCGTTTTTCCAAAAAAAAAAACTGAGCTGCCAGTAAAAGCGTCTGTTTCGTTTTCGATGCACCACCCTGTATATCCTAGAGCATCAAGATGGATTAACTAGGAAGTTCTATCTAATCGCTATTTTTGGAAACTCAGTTTATTATACCTCTAAAATTAATCTGGACTAATTCTAACCAATATGATACAGAGCAATCATTACTCCGATGAGCCTTCGTGGGCAACAGAAACATTAGTAATGATTAATAATAATATTAATAATTTATTCACATCAATTACACATTGTTAGTCTAATCATATTAGCAAATTTCCCCGAAATAATTGTAAAGTCTGGTTTTATTGATGCAATTTGATCAAGGGGGTATTCAAAACATGGACGGATAAAATAGGTACACTAATGTTTGTGGGAAAACTTTTTATTTGACAACAAAGAATGAGAAAACGTGTTTTTTGGGATTCAATGGAGTGTTGACAGGAACGAAAAAACTTTTCATGTAAGACTTTTAGGTATTTATGAGACCTACAAAATGAGATCACACGTGAAAAGATTAGACTAATAGCAAAAATGTTATGGCTCTTGTTGGTAATGCGACGACAATTTCACCCGACAACTTGAAATTATTCAAATCCGTAGTATTTATACTTAAGCAAATAACAACAACAAAATTGGAGTATATTGGACAAGTAGTTTTTTGAGGATTCCTAATTGCTTATCCCAAAGCACCTTTTTTCCGGCCGTCATTACTAGCTTATTGCCGCTATAAATCACAAACCATTCCGAAACATAAATGTTATTTTTATGCGAAAAACAAAGGTTACGTTTTTTTCTTCTAAATAAATTCATACATTTCGTATTTGTGAGTAGTTGCACAGATGCGCTACGATATTCGAAAAACATTCATTATTAAACAGATTTTAAAACAAAGCGGATGTGTATACCATCTGTTATTGCGAATTACTCACAAATACGAAATGTTTGAATTTGTTTAGCAGAAAAAACGTAGCCCAGCCCAAACTAGGGTATTTTGCTATATAATGCACTTTGAACTAGCTCTATATATTGCTCAATAAACTAGAAGTGATGGCCGGAAGACAGGTATTTTGGGATAAACAATTAGAAATTCTCAAAAACTACTCGACCAATCTACCCCAATTTCATTGCGGTTATTTAGAAATACGAATTCTACGAATTTGGAGAATTTCAAATATCTGCGCGAAAACATCGTCGCATTACCAACAAGTGCTAAAACCTGCAATTTTCCTCGGTTCTCAGTTATAACTTTTTTGCTATTAGTCGGATCTTTTTAGGTGTGGTCTCATTTTGTAGGTCTAATACCTAAAAATCTTTTACGAAGAATTTTTTGGTTCCTGTCAGACTTTACAATTATTTCGCAAACCAGGGGTATTTTCGTCTAATATGATTAGACCATGTTTTTCTATATTCGATTTTGAAACTTTACCAGTCCCAGAATAAGTTACATGAATGTTAAAACCACAGATGGGATGGGCGGATGGACAGGTGGGATAGATGGCTCATGTATTATAGGTATGGTTCATATATGTAATAGATTCGTTGACAATACTGATGAGTCTTATTTGAACAAATATTCAATATTACAATAATAGTACCCGGCACCTCACAAAGTTATGACCACTGAACATGACTTTGTAATATTTCAATGTACTATTTGTGCAAAATTCGAATAAACGTTAATATATTGTACTGATTTCAAAAAAATTACGATTATTACAATGTAAAATTTCTAAAATATTTTTGAAAAATATTGTGCTGCGTGAGCAGTCATCGACTGATATTTAATTTCATACACATACTTTCATTGGCGAGGAAATTTGGCAACAAAGTAGTATGTGATATACAAAAGCATTAAATCTCATTAGAAGGCTGCCAGAAAATATGACCGGAACTAAAAGCAACTGCAAAATATGGCCAAGACCAAGAAAAAAGTAAAAATATGCAAAATATACTTTTTGGATGCAAAATATTCACAGTCGATAGAAAAAATGCAGAATATTTCATTCGACGTTCCTTTTCAATACATAAGCTTTTGTGTATACATCACGTCAATTTTCATAGCGTTTTCACCTACCTCCATATAAAATAAAAAGGACGATCAACGTCGTCCAATAATAGCTAATAATTAACGCAGTATTAAAAACCGGATCTTTCAAAAACTGTACAGCACACTCTCCTGGTTGCAGGTCTCTGTATCCAGTGAAATGTTCCCACCTGCAAATAACAAATTCTGAATAATTACAGTGTAAATGAGCCACGCTCCAGCGCATTTGATAAATTGTGAAATTACATTTGATTTATTATTCAGCGCCCGTATCGAAAATCTATTAAGAACTTCAAATACGATACAAATGGGTTATGGATGAAAAATTACCGCACTCCATTGTGTGGAGTTCGCTTTTCGATTTATTGTATCAGTCTATGAATATCAAATTAGCTTTTTTCGATTTAGGTACTTGTGGTATTGGAGTTATCGGAGTAATGCGAGTATTATTTATGTAGTAAGTGCGGAAGACCAGAAATTCTTCATTGACTTGTCCTGAAGTTATCTACAACGAACATCCAGACATACAGATGTATCGGGAACGTTTTAGAGGTCTATAGCTCAAAAATAACTTTGGAACCGCGTCAAATAGCTAAAACTGCCATAACTGATTTCATTATCAATATTGGCATCTGATTTAAGGAGGTTGTGTGATCGAGAGACACACTAATCATAAGTCTTGTCACGTGGCTCATTGCCTACTACTTTAGTAAGAAGGTAATGCCAAAAATGGGGTCTCCCATCTTGAAAAGGTGCATAAAACATTTATTTCTCATAATTTCTTTAGACTTACAAGTATGAAGTGTAAGCATCGATCTAATTTTCTACATAATTGCCATTTCGGTCAATACATTTTTCAAGAAGTTATGGCACTTTTTGTAAGTCATGTCATAAATTCGCGCCATCGGGTCATTGAGCAGTATGCCTCATGTTCCACCTGAAACTGAATCGTTTTGACAAATATTATTTTAGCCCACGGGACAGGCGGAAGTCATTGGCTGCAAAGTCCTGAATATTGAGTGGGTGGGTGATAATCTTCCATACAAGATGTATGCGTTGTCGTTGATGAGCTTCATGACTTAATCAAGGATCTAGTAGCAAATTGGTATCTCACAGCTCCTACGACAATCTACCAACCGGACTGTGGATCTGTATGAACTATTGAAGATAGATGCAAGCTATAGAAAATAGGATAACCGCGTAGTAATGGTATCGCAAAAGAATTTGTTGAATCACACACGACATAATAAACTTTCTTGACACCGACCCGAAGATACTGATGAAGAAGAGCAACGCCGGTACTATCCACGTAATGGTCACCATCCACACCACTTTTTGCTTAGTCCGCCAACTGCGATACCTCGCGGCTATCTTCACCGAACAAAACCGATCCACGGTGATCAGCAGCACCGTATACTGTGACACCAGGCATACAGTGTAGTCCACGGAGAGCCACAGGTCGCACAGTAAGGGACCCAGGTTCCAGTAGCCCATCAGGACGTAGACTGTGTAGAATGGCATCGAGACGGTACCTGCAAGAATAAATCTCTCATTTAGTATAAATAAATATAGCCTATCTCATTGATTCCCAAAGTGGTCTATATGGACCCCTAGGGGTCTATGACAACCTGCAAGGGGTCTACGTCAGCGAAAAAAAATGTTGGGGTCCATGAAATGAATATGGGGGTCCACGATAGTGGATCTCAACACATACACTGATAGTACTTATTTACTTACATCATACTATCTTATAATATCAAAACATATACACTATTTATAAAAGTAGCTATGAAGTAAAAAATTTATTATATATGTCTATATATAGAATTGTGGGATGTTGGTATTCGCTTTGTGGTCGCAATACATTTTGAACCTGAGAGTCGCAGTCTCAGAGCTTCGCTACCTTGCACTGACTTGTTCAATTTGTCAGTCTATCAATACGAATGTGGGACAAATACGTTTATTCGTTTCCTGAATCTTGAAAAGGAAAGTGCTGAGAAAATATTTTAAAAAATATAAACAGATAGTATATCACACAAATTATAGTCAGTGTTATTTTGTTTGACTGTGCCTGGAGAAAAGTAAGTACATTATTTTTTATTAAATTTTAGTTTTATATACTCGTAGTTAGCAAAGATAAATAAATTACGCCAATCATGACTTTAGTTATTAGTAGTTAAATATTCAATCACGCAAAATTACACGAGTACTCCTCAATAGTTTCTTTTTGAAAGTTTTAGCAATCGGTAATATAATTACAGTGCAATCTCCGTTATTCGAGCTAATTTTTGCAAAGAGATGTTCGAATTATGGAATGTTTTCGGAAAAATCTGTCTTATTTAAATAATTTAATTTTGCCCACAGATGACTGATGCCATGTCTGAATCTAAAAATAAATGTAGACAGTACAGTGTTGATTATTTGAAATTTGGCTTCATTCCATCATTGCCGGACAAACAGTCGCCTATGTGCCTTTTATGCAACAAAGTTTTGGGCAATGACGCTATGAAACCATCTAAACTGCAAGATCGTCTGAGAAGATGCCACCCTTATAAAACAGAGAAAGATTTGAAATACTTTCAAACACTCAAAGATAAATTTCAGAAGAGACCTACACTGGACAGAATGTTCGCTTCGACGTCACAAAGAAATGATGATGGTTTGCGGGCGTCTTACAATATCTCGTTACTTATAGCAAAATCCGGAAAACCGCATACTATCGGAGAGAAGTTAATTTTGCCAGCCGTTGAAGAGGTTTTAAAAACTGTTTTACACAAACCTGCATCTGATATCATTAAAAGAATTCCCTTAAGCAACAATACTATTGAAAGCCGTATTGATGAAATGAGTTCTGATATTGAAAGCTTCTCATGTAATTATTTGCAAACGACCCATTTCTCTATACAACTGGACGAGTCAACTTTACCTGATAATGCAGCATTATTATTGGCATATTTTCGTTTTATTATGAATCAAGAAATCTACGAAGAACTGCTCTTCGCAAGAACTTTGATAAAGCGGGAATTACATTACGAAACTAGTGGTATGAAACTAGTGTCATGACATTAATTTCACCAACATTTCATGTGCAAGTAGTTTCGTAGTGTCGTGAAATCGACAGTATCGCTGTGATCATGGCGCCGTCAGCATCGAAGCTGTATTTTGCAGTTCAAGATGTTGTCATACAGATGTTGATATATAAACTGAAAAAGAGGATGGCTCGAAAGAAAAAGCGTTGGTGGGTTAGAGGATGGGTAGCAAGGAGACGTCTGGGTGCAGTACAGTTAATTTCCGAATTAGCAGATGAAGATCCTGAGAGCTATACAAGCTATTTTCGAATGAGTGAAGATTGCTTCAACTTTTTATTGGATAAAGTATCTGACAAAATCACTAAGCAGGATACGACATGTCGAGCAGCATTGACACCAAAAATAAAACTTCAAATTACGCTGCGATTTCTAGCAACTGGGAATAGTTTGAAGTCATTGTCATACGAATTTAGAGTGGCACCATGTAGTATATCAAAATTTCTACCTGATGTGCTAATCGCAATCTATGAAGCATTAAAAGACTACATTCAGGTAAGCAAAACATTTTTATTTAATACAGTTGAAAAGTTAGATACTCAAATCTAAAAATACTCATCAAAGTCCAATTCTCTCTCCGTTATGCTGGCAATAGCTTGAGAAAGTACATCGTTATTGTAACCAGTGGGATTTGCATCTTCTTTATCGTTATTGATGGCACTACTGGCAGAAGCCGTGGACTTTGGTCTTGGTGGCGATGAATTGCGTTGAGATAACGACTGTTGCTTCAAAGAACTGATTCGTTGCCTTCTTATTGTTGATAAAATTATCTCCTCTGTTTCTAAAGCAATTTCCAGAGGAAGCTGTCGTAGCTGTTGAGCTACGGTTTGCCCAAACAGTGCAAACTCATCATTGCCTGCATTAGGCACGTGTTGCGAGGAAATCTGTTCCAATGTATGTACCGCTTTAAGTAGCGGATCTGCAATTTTCCTTTTGTTTCTTGTAGGTGTGCGTGGTATGGTAAACTCATCATTACTGGATCCTGAAGCTGAACCCTGTGAAGCAGTGTTGGGTGTCTAAAACAATAATTAAATTTTGAATTTTCTTTACAGGTACCAAACACAGAAGAATGTTGGAGGGAGATAATGGATGGCTTCAATGATAAATGTAATTTTCCAATGTGTGGTGGTGCAATCGATGGCAAACATGTTCAAATCCGATGTCCAGCACATTCTGGAAGTGACTATTATAATTATAAGGGCACATTCAGTATTGTCCTCCTAGCAGTTTGCGACAGTGAATTAAAATTCAGGTATATCAATGTGGGCCACTATGGTCGAGCTTCTGATGGAGGAGTATTTGCCAGATCAAATTTTAAAAAAAGGTTGGAGGAAATGTCTTTGAACGCCCCTGAAGGAATGGTTTTATTGGGGGACCAGGCGTTTCCTCTCACTGACTATCTTATGACACCATATAGTCGTCGACTAAATTTATCGAAAAAACAAAAAATTTTCAACTACCGACTATGCAGAGCTCGCCGGACTGTAGAGAATGCCTTCGGAGTGTTGGTTAGCAAATTTCGTATACTTGAAAAGCCTATTGCTCTACTCCCAGAAACTGTGGACAAAATTATAAAGACATGTTGTGTCTTGCATAACTGGCTGAAGACCCGATCATCAACCTACATTGAGCCAGGACTGATTGATGAAGAAAACTCAGAAACAGGAGACTTAGTGGAAGGATCATGGCGTACTATAGCACAGAACTCATTTAGGCCACTGGGTAATTTCAGTGGAAACCATTCGAGAAATGCTCACCGGATACGCGAGCATTATACTGACTACTTTGTTGGGCAAGGGCGTTTAGAATGGCAAGATAGGATGATTTATTAAATGCAAAATCATATTGGAAGCTGATAATAAAAAACTTACCAAATTTTCTGTGTTTTCTCTGGCATAACCATCAGTATTTTTTAAAAAATCCATATGAGGGATCCATGGTATTTTAGAGATATACTGTTCATCGGTTGCCATACCAGTAGTATTAGATTTTTTTGTCTTCATTACTTCATTGTTGTAAGTATTACGAAGTGTTCGTATTTTGCAAATTACATCTTTTACACTTTCCATCTGCATAACCTCCATAATTGCTTTGTACCCCGCGTCTCGGGCATCTCTATTTTTGTAGTCAGGGTGTTTTGGATCCCAAAGACACTCGTTTCGCTGGTATTCATTAATGAACTGTATATTTTTATCGGCTGTCCAGCGTTGATTCGCCATTTGTAACGAATATTTCACGATTTCACAATCTGCACGTGCACGGCCACAAAACACACATCCACTCTGAAGCGCTGTCGTGACACTAGTTTCGCACATTCGCGTCACGTTTACATCGTGAAACTGGTGGCATAACACTAGTGTCGTTCAAAAATTGCGCGCCGCACGAAAGTAAATCGGTGTCATGAAAGTAATGCACGCATTGTGAAACTTAACATTTACACGTGAAACTATTGATGAAACTACTGTCATGACACTAGTTTCATACCACTAGTTTCGTAATGTAATTCCCGCTTAACCGACACTAAAGGTGAATCAATATTTCATGTTTTGAAGGATTACTTCATTAAAAAAGCAATTCCTTTATCAAATATGATATCAGTAGCTACAGATGGAGCACATGCCCTGGTTGGACGTTATCGTGGATTTATAAGCTATTTAAAGCAAAATGTGTCAGGGGTGTTAGCAATACATTGCGTCATCCATCGACAACATTTAGTTGCTAAAAATTTGAGTGTTAGATTGCATGAATCACTTCATTTAGTCATTGATGCAGTAAACCGAATCCGAAGCAACGCGTTGAATACGCGGTTATTTGCGCAGTTGTGTGAAGAAGATGACGAACACTTTCATCAATTACTCCTTCACACTGAAGTACGCTGGCTGTCGAAAGGCTTATGTTTGACAAGATTTTTTACACTCTTTGAGACTATTTTAGAATTTCTGGATACTGAAGATACATTTTTAAAAGAAAATTTAATGAAGAGGAAAACAGACATCGCCTATTTAACAGATTTGTTTACAAAATTTAATATGGTTAATTTGCAATTACAAGGCGACAGTTTAAATTTGATTAAAACAAAGTCCATCTTATCAGCATTCCTTGCCAGAGTTAAAGTAATGAAGCAATACATTGGACGGGGCGAATTTTCTCAGTTCCCCAATTTGTCACAGACAAGCTGCCAGGAAGACGACGTTTCAACTTACGTTCAACATTTAAATGCCCTCTATTCAGATTTTGAATCTAGGTTTGAGGATATTTTGACTATGGCAATACCACCGTGGATAATTAATCCATATGGTGACATAGAAGAAACGAATGTCATAATACAAGAGGAACTGACTGAACTAAGTACAAACGAAGAACTTAAGGTTCAGTTTAAAAACGGATATCAGCAATTCTGGCTGCAAAACAACATACCCGTTACTTATCCCGTATTATGGAATTCAATTCAAGGATATCCGAAGAAGTCTCATTATTTGCCACAGGCGGCACATTTCGCTCGCCACTATAGCCCTCGGTTGCTAAATTTATTAATTTTCCAAGAAACCCTAGATTGAATCCAGTATAGCTAGAAAAATATCTAAGGATATACCTACGGGAATCATTAAGGAGACTCAAGGACTTCAAAGGAGATCTATGTAAATCTGAGCGAAGGATCAGCAATCTCTTCACTTTTCTCTCACCCACTAATTTACAAACTGCTAGGTTATTAATATTCTTGGTCTTACCATTTTAAGTGCGAAACGTAGTCCGTTAAAGCTATCGATTTGATCCCAGATACACCTCAAGGTCATCAATCATATTCCAAATAGATTACGGGGACATGTTTTTGATGTCATGACATCGTTTCCTACTCCAATGACAATTAGTAAATATATCCTGACCCTAAGACTACTTTTCTTTTGTATAGCTAGGTGCCTACCTATAAGCATATCCGTACAGGCCAATGACGCGATGAAATAATTACTAGGCTGTCTGATGTTTCTGTCGACGATGAAAGCGAGCAGTACCAGGATGTTGCCGGAGACCGTCAGTATGATGCAAATGCCGAGGCTGATGGCGATTAAGACCGTTTGCCAGAGCTTGAACGGTGCCAACACTGGCTGGAGGATAGGCTCTGTGGGATTGGGCGATGTGCTGTTCGGGTCCTCTGTTGTTCCTAGGGCAGAAAGCGGTTAAATATCAAATGAGTTAATATTCTGAGTGACTGCGTCGTATTTTTTTCCGATTTTATAATTGACCGGCGGGAATCAATGGCACAAATTGTACCAACAAGATGTAATGTATCTAACGAATTTGGTCGATTTCTTATAAAATGTCTCTCACACTACACGATTTCTGTGAGATGGGCTTCTAATTCTCACATTAAGCCAAGAAATTTGTATATCATATGATTCAGCTACAAAAACCTATTTTTCATTTGTGTCCGGACACAAAATTTGACGCTAATTCCATCAGTCCACAAGGATGTGTGGGCTAAGCATGGATCAATTTTAATACAAATACATTAGACTGGCATGGCGCCAGAACTGAGCAGTTCATTGAATATAAGAGTATCACTGTCGCTGTACAGAATTCTATTTACTAAATTCTCTGAAGATATAAATGAAATTACACAATGTTTATTATTTAACGAACATCGACTAAATAATTAATTTGCTTACTTACTGTTAACAAGATATCACGCACCCTACTGAACGGTAGAACGACTACACGACCAGGCTGCGTAGCAGTATTGGTAACAAGGTTTGAAGTATATGTTCTACTACTCAGTAGAGGACGCGAGATGTTTGTTAACGAATAGTCATTCTGAAATTTTATTTATGCAAAAGAATTCAAAATAAAAAGTACTCAAATGCTGCTAATTTTTCACCTCTACGTGCCATTGCGTCATTAATAATAATATGACGTCTCGTATCTTATCCTCATTTATTAACTTCATTCTTTTTATAGTCGCCAAATTGGATTTTTGAATCTGTCTCCAAAAATGTATATGTCATTCCCAAATTTTCGTTATTGCGAAAAAAAAAACAGAATTACTTAGGTAGACCCTGAAATCATCAAATAGTCATTTGTTTCATATAATCAGCCAATCATTTTCCATGTTCTTATGAAGCAGGAATAGCTGAAGAATCCGTATTCCCAATTTGAATGATGTTGTATTGTACGTGTGACATAGATTGGCATTATAAAGCTTCAAACGTCTTTGAAAAGTAATTTTCGTGTAGTTGGTCTTGACTCATCGAAACAATCTAGTGCTTAGACTTGTTCATACTATTTGAGGGTTATATTGAGAACATTGAAAACACTATTACACACTTCATACCCCGATATCTGAACCTATCTGGCCTTCTAAAATCAAGAAATCTCGAAATACTCTTCGGTATCTTGTAAAGCAGGGCTCAAAAATTTTAAATTTAGGTACGTGACGAAAATTGTGATTTTTAACCCAATTTTTAAGCATTGAATATACCCATTTTGAAGACTTTTCAGACAATAAATCGCTTATAACTCGAAAATAGTTAACTTTGACGAAAACTCATTGAAAGCCTCTTTTTGATCACAATGTCCCAATAAAACCGGACAAAAGATGTGCTTTATTTAAGAAAGTATTATTTACTGACACGCAAAATTAACCGGAAAAACAAAATTTAGTCAAAATAACTTTTTAACCTTTACACCAATTTTGTTAATCTTTTGGTCAAGTTGTAGGTAATTTCATTGTTATCATTTCCGACTGTCCACCTTGCATAAATAATTAAAAATGTTTGTTGTTATGCAGGGTGTAACTAAAAGGTACATTTTGCCATAAATTTCAAAAAATTTGGGAGATTCAAAATAAACTTTGTTTAATAAGATTTTTCTCATCTGGTTTTGGTAACAGTTTAGGAAAAGTCACGCGTCGCCACTGCAGTGACAACATTGGTAAGAAAACTATGCGAATCATAACCATAAGTAATTTAAGTTAAGAAATTACTGTGACATCATTGGTAATCAGAACTTGTTATAAAAAACGAGTATTTCTTTGCGCTTGGATAACAGGTCTCCGCCTCTCTGGCATAGACTCAATTAAACCAGATATTATGTCTTGGGGTATTTGCTCCCACCCGTTAACCAGCGTCTGTTCCAACGCCGTCACAGTTTGAAATTCTCCATGGTTCCGCCTAAGCCTTCTTCCTAATGTATCCCACATGTGCTCAATGCGGTTGAGATCTGGACTCCTTGGTAGCCAGTCTACTACTTCAATTCCAACATCGTTGAGGTATTGCCTAGTCATTCTGGCTACATAATAATAATAATAATAATAATAATATTTATTTACTCTAAAATACAGGGAACATGAAACGAGTAAATAAATATAATATATCCATAGGAGGACAACGCCTGTGCATGGATCATATGTATGTTGAATTGCAAAATATAATAAAATAGAGAGAAAAAAGAAATTATTGGTAAGAATGGTAGAGCATTTATTGTGTAATATTTGAGATTATTTTATTAATTTGATTTCTCCCAATCGTGTTAATAAATTTTTTTAATTTTTTTTTGAAGCCTAATGTATTGCGTAATTGTTTTAAATTATTTGGTAAATGTTCGTACAATTTTGGAGCTATATACAGGTGACATCGTTTCATTAGGGATTTGTTTGGTTTAGGAACATTTTTTGCGCGTAATTTATATCTGGTTTTATGATTATGTTTAATTATGTCGTGTTCACTAATAGTTTTGTGATAATGAGTGATGGTATGTAAGAAGTAAAGTTGTTTAGTATCATATACTTGTGCATCATAATTTTGATTTGCCTAACATTGATTTTAAAATTCTTCTTTGAAGTACATATAAATCGTTAAAGTATGTCGTGCATGCAGCACCCCACACTACTATACCATATGTTATGTGTGGCTCGACTAAAGCTTGATATATTATTCGTAGATAATATTCAGTTAATATACCGGTTAGAAATTTTATTTTATATGCTATGAATCTAATTTTCTTTAGTATGTGAGAAATATGTACATCCCATCTCAAGTGGGGATCTAGATAAATTAATAAAACATGCGACCGAACATTATCTTTCATTAGGAGAAAATGGTGGAGGTGTCCTCCTCGTAGCGAAACAAGATCTGTCCGGGATTCCAATGAAATACCGCCCCATACCATCACTCCTCTACCACCAAATTGCACTCTAGGAGCGAAACAACTTTGAGCATAGTGTTCTCCACGCCTTCTCCACACTTTTTGGTGACAATCAGGTGAATATCTCGTAAAACGAACGTTTTTCTAGTCGTCCATATCCGAATCTGCATGAGTTCGAGAAAATACCAAGAGCTGCCTTCGATAAAATACATCCAATAGAAGACCTGTAGATGGTTCACAAGACGATAGGCTTCCTTCTCTCAACCTTCGGCGTACGGTATCAGGTGAAACCATGGTACCATGAACATGATGAAATCTTCGAGTCAAAGCTGTAGCAGGAGCTGTCCTTTCTCTAAGAGCTTGAAGTCTCAGAAACCAATCTTCAACTGAGTTTGTTGCTTTTCATCTTCCCTGTCTAGGTCTTCTTGAGTAAGAACCAGTTTCTCTAAATCTTTGTATGGCATCGAATCCCGTACTGCGTGGAACGGCAAGCCTTTCTGCGATATACCGAATAGGACGACCATCATCTTGTAAAGCTACAGCTTGCGCTACTTGTTCCGGTGTCATTTATGTTGAATATTGCTTGACAAGAGTCTTTTTGACATGCCATAAAAATGTTAACAGACACAGCCTACTTGAAACAATGTCTTACCCAGCAAAGCCTTCTTGAAACAATTTCTTGTTTATGACTATGATTCGCATCATTTTCTTCAAAACAGCATATACTTTTCAAAACTTGAGATATTGACATGAATCCAAAAAAGAACTATTAAGAAAAGTTGAGGCTTAAAATTCTCATACGAAGACATATTATTCAGTAATCCAGTGTTTCCACAGGCTGTGTACATTTAGGGCAAAATGCACCTTTCAGTTGCACCCTGTATAACAAACATTTTCAATTCTTTTGCAAGGTTGTCAATCGATATTGATGACCTTGAAATTACCTACAACTTGACGGAATAATTAACGAAATTGATACAAAAGTTAAAAAGTTATTTGAAATTTAATTTGAACAAAATTTTGTTTGTCCGGTTAATTTTGCGTGGCAGTGTATATTACATTATTATAATAATATATATATATAAATTTCGCATGAGGTGTGTGATGTAGAGCGCCCCCATCTTGCTATAGTCGATAAATGGTCAATTATCTGAATGTCCAAATGCTTATCGGCAATGAAAATATTGTTGAAATAATTTGGTAAACATATGATGAACTGTCATTTTCAAAGCCAACTATAAACGTATTAGTTTTTTGAAACAACTAAGGTCTGGTAATGACACTGTATGACTTACTACAAACTTTTTGAATCAGAATTATAAGCTATACTCACCTGTGCAAAAATCCAATGTAGCATCCATGTGAAAAAATAATGTTGCCGATTGAGGATAAGAGGAGACGTAACGTCATATTATTATTCTAATTATGCTGTCTTGTAGAGGAGAAAAATGGCAATGATACTGTACTCCATATTTTCCAACCTCGTCCCAAATAAAGTCAGGAAAAAATAAGATCGATTTTAGAAAACTTCGGTTTCCTTCATCTATTTACAGAAATACTCGAAATTTTGGTGCTTTCTAAGTGTCATTTACTAACTGGATGCGCAACTTTACCCTCATTTGCGGAATCTTGTGGCATTTTTGTCCTGTCCCTTACCGTTAACTAGCCTCCCAAAGATGTTTAAAGGATCCTCATCGTCCCACCACCTGTTCTTGGATGAGTTAAAAGACTCGTAACATTCGGTTAACGTCAGCACACCACTGTAAACGGTTTTGCAGAACTTTTCTCGCTGTTTCTGAAGTTTCCTGTAAAAATAAAAGAGAAGCATTCAGCACAGTTTGAAACTGTTATGTCTACTGGGTGCTGTCTATTAATAGACAAAAGTTTCTACACACGTTGCCAGCCGAACCGAAATGTGGTGAATTGCAGGTCATCTCCATTTGAGAATGAAAGTAAAGGAGGATGGGAGAGAGCTTTTAGTGTGCTTTTGTTTTTCAGTAACCGGTGAAAGGGTCACCTTTCAGCTTAATGAGGTTTGTGCGATTTTGGTGTCGTTTTCTTCTCTCTCGTGTTAGTTGAACGTATAAATAAGTAAATAGTTTAAGCAACTATAAACATTAAGATATTAATTGCGCAGAAAAAATAGGAGGAATTGAGAAAGATGATTGAGGAGAAAGAACTCCCGCGTTTATTTATGTCTTATTAAACAAACACAAACAATATTTCGGCCACATTATAAGCAAGTAAAGAATAACGAGTTGCTTCAACATCATCGAAGGCGAGAGAATTTGGTTTGGCTTGGTTTGGTTAGGTAGAAAGGGGACGCAAATCCTGATTTAAAAGTTAGGTAACAGTGGACTTCACAGAACTGCTGAGAGTAGCTAAAACTAACGCAGTTGTGGTTGTGAACGGCCTCAAAGGCAGAAGAAGAAGAAGTGTAAATTAGGCGTAGAGCAAGCAATTAAAAATGATTGAAGCATTAATGATTGTCAAGGCGCTGCTACCATCCAGTAGATTCACTACTATGAAAGAATTATGAAGGAATTTATTCGTCGACATGCTCCCCTGGGATATAAGGAAACGTACTGATTCTGAATTTGATCCCCATGGAGTAAAAATACTGAACAAGCCATTACCGCGTATTAAAAAATAACATTAATTCCAAAAAACTAGTTTTTTCCTATTATATTCTTAGGTAACCAGACTAGTAACATAAGATAAACCCATACATCAAGACATTTGAACAGTAGCCATCTCTAGTGAGGCCTATTTGACTAAACTTTAGCTTGAGGTATTTATGTCACTGCCAGCGTCAAAGATGTCAACTCATCGATCAATTTTACTCCAGAAGCAATTTCTAGTATTACTTATTACACATTTGGTACGTCATACAATGAAAAATGTTCCTGTCCCAGATTGTTCGACTACGGTTCTCGTGCTTTGGATGAGCTTATTCAGCGTTTGCCTTCTTACAATGTTGTGATATTACGTTTTTGAAGATTACTGAGCGCAAACAAGTAAATCTGACTGACTGAAATCTCTTCCAAAGACAGAAGTTTATTAAATTTTGGAAACTTTTGATGTTATACATTGTGCGATTCGTTTTTTTTATATTTTTTCTTATAGTGATGCAGTGAGTAGTCCTAAACCTAAATTTCGGGGCACCGCGACTTCTATAAGAAGCTTAAGACACGTTGTTAATCCTATTTTTGAGCCAAAGTCGCTGTCGTACTGGCCAACTCTGGATGAACAGCTCGTCAAGTGTAGGAAGAGATATGAGGTTTTTCTTGGACTGCGCACACATGAGAGGGAGAACGCATTCGATCTCCAGTGGTGCAGTCTGCACACTAAATTAATCGAATAATATCAATACTGGAAAACGTATTATGTGAAGCCTTTTTTTAATCGAGATTGATGGCATGTGTCAAAAGGAAACCAATTCAATTTATTCCATAAAATAAGTATTGCACGCTATGTAGCTATAAGGCTGAAATTGATTGATACTCATTCTATTTTTAATTGTTAATAATTTCAATTAATAAACAATCAAATTAAAAGTAAGGTCAGAAAAGTAACATAGTAGTAGATACAGTTAACAATATTTTAAAGATTTATGAAGTTTATATTTACTATTTAAACTTAAATCTTCAATTTCGGTATCGCTATCTTCGTCTTGGTTTATTATTATTTGATCCACAAATAAGTCGAGTGCTGGTTCCATTTCCATATACTGCTTCTTTCGCTCACATCGCTTCTTCCATGCTTCTGTGGGATAAGACAAAAAAAAGTCGTCGCAAAGTTTGTCGACAGACTTGAGATCAAAATCAACAGTTCTCTCAGTCACATATTATTTCAAAGATGCCCATACCAACTCAACTGAGTTCAAGTCGGGGTGATATGATGGCAATCTCAAGACAGAATGACCTTTTTCAACCATTATTCTGTCTATTTCATAAGTTATATATACCGCCTTATACATTTTGATAAGGCTATACAAATCAATTTTCAACATGTCGTCAGTGAAATGTATGTTCTTTTGCCTTAGTCATTCTTTCATATGATCCTTCTTAGAGCACATAGTAGGACGTTTGTCTATCTGAACATTGTGGTACGGAGCGTTGTCTATAACCAAAACACCATTTCGTGGCAGGTTGGGAATCAGTTTATTCTGAAGCCTTTTTTTAAAAGTACTATAGTTTATCACACTATATAATCACTCGACTTACTATTGGATTTAAATTTCAGATGATATGCATTTTCACTACCAGCATGCACAATAGTAAATCTTTGTCCATTTGAAGCTGTTCTGTGAAGTTTCTCATTGGTATTATCGCTCCAACTCTTTTCATGCGTATGTGATGTATGGATGTATGTTTCGTCCATATAAATTATAGGACGATTTTTTTCTCTATATCCTTTCATCCTTCTCAGAAAATTTCTCCTCAGATGCTGAATCTTTGGTTTCTCCATAAGAAGTCTTCTATTATTTCTTGCCTTTCTCCAACGAAATCCCATTGTCTACATCACTTTCCTTAAAGTTTCATTTGATTCAGTAAGTCGTATTCATAAGGGAGAAGCATATCCTCGGAAAAATAAGGTAAAAGTATAAGGTCTTGCTTCGGTGAAAAAGGCGGAAGTGTAAGTATATCCTTGTTTTCATATTCACAATGATTACCTTATACTCGCGAGGGTATTCTCCAAGAAGAAGTAAGAGGATGACTGGTATTTGTATCTTGAGCGACATGTCCTGACTTGTTCCAGCTTGTAGTTGACGTGGGAGTTCGTTCACGCAACATCACTGACAGTTGTACTCCAGAGCTTACACAGACCGTTCCGTATTTTTACTGGAGTTTTTTCTCAAATTAATAAGCATGTCATCCTCAAGTGATGAGGAAACTATAGAAAATAATGGCAATGACCTGCAATTCATCGCAGATGAAATTGCCATTGCTCCCATTATGTTGCAAAAGTCACAAGTTCCAAAAATAAAAATGAGAAAGGACGATGCCTTGAAGAAGATGTTGAATAAATACGAATCAACATTCGGTAAACCATCAGATACTAAATACTTATTAAAAAAATCAACAACATGAAATTGAAGAAAAAAACAGATCTAAAAAAAACTGGTAATGAAGTAATTAAATTGTTAGATTGGGAAAGAAAGTTGCTGAAAGCTATGGAAGGTGACTGTAATCCTACAATTAGGAAAATTAGGGGTGCCATTCAGGTTGGTAGTGTTCAAGAAGAACGAAGTGAAGTATATACCGAGCGCAGTGAGCAAACAGTTAGTATTATAGCTCCAGCAATTCAGAAGACATTGCCACCAAGAAGAAAGTTAGCAACGGAGAAATACGAAACTGAGGATACCAAAGCGTTAACCACAAAAGAACTGCAACGTCTAGTGCTATTACAGCAGTACCAAATAAGTATTTTACAACAAGAGTATTATAAAACGAAATTAGAAATGATGCAGCGTCAGAAGCCACCTATAAATTATGATGTTCACGAAACTAAAACTTATTATAACTTATAAATACACTTTAGTCAGTAAAACTATTTATTATAATACCCAAGTTTCTTCTTATTTGTTGACCCAGTTGGCGTAGAGGAAGTTCACCATTCTCATGATTTCCTCCATCTTCATCTGGGTCGTGTTCAACTAACTCAAAGTCAGGATCGTGCAAGCTCTTCGCAACATTATGGAGTGCAATACAAGCTAGCCGGTTGACCTACATCAGTTCATGGTTGGTAGTTGGAAACTTGATCCATTCGTTCGACTGTGCAACTATGCTGTTCACAACTCTATCCACAGTCCGAGATACCGTTGCTTGACTAACACCAAGTTCTTGACCAATGCCTTGTTGATATCCAGGGTCACCGAGATAGCGTAGACATATCTTCATTTTATGAATACATGAAGGTGCTCCTCCTCGACTTTCCTCATTCTCAACTAAAAATCTGTCCGCAAGCCATTGTACATTTGCTTTGTCGAACCGATATAATTTTTTGAAATCATGACCAAGTGAAGGTGAACGAGGATTGTCCGTTTTAACATCCCTAACATCCACAATTGCCGCTATCATCGTTGACCACCTTTCGTGACGAAGTTGAGTCTGCTACTGACAATTTTTGAAGGATATGCTTCCTATGCCAAGTATAAGGTGAAGATTATGAATATTCTTTTACTTATGTCACTGCTTTGAAGGATATGCTTATACTAAAAGGCAAAAGCATTTACTTCAAATCATAGAGAAGAGCGCTGAGGAGCAAAGCCCGTTGGTAGAATCGCTGACCTCCAGTCAGTGCAAAAGCGTCCCGAGACTGTCCTTGAGAGAAGTGTCATCGATAAATCGGACAGCCTTACTCTGAGCAGCATCGAGTATGGATTATGTAGTATGGCAGTACCCCAAGGATGTAAGCATTACTCGAGGCTAGGTCTCACCTGAGCTTTGTACAGAGTGAGGATGTTATGTGAAGAAAAGTACTTCTTAACTCTTAACAAATAGCTTTTCCAATCAGCTGTTGTGACTGATGAGATGTGTTTGTGTCAACTAAAATTTCTGATGATCGATCAACTGCGATTGCAGTGCTGTTAACAGCAAAGCTGTGAATTGGATTGACAGTACAAGAGAAGAGGTCGTTGATATGTAATAGAAACAATACTGGAGCCAAAACCGATCTCCGGGGAACACCTGCCTTGGCATTGCGGAAAAACCCTTCAACTAAGACGGATATCTTGGGACCGAAGGGAATCTCAAAGGATATTTGTTCACCTCCCTCACCTTCCGTTGTGTTACGTGATCTA